TGCACGCTTTATATCATCTGGTAATTTATTCCAAAGGCGGACAGCCTGAACTGCAAAAGACTTGTCGAGAAACTTTGTTGAATGGATTGGCGTCTGCAGTTTTAGGTTCTCTGATGATCGCAAGACACGGGAGTGCGTATCGTGAAGGTAATTAAAACGTTCCCTGAGATACGTTGGAGAGAAAGGATTAAACAGTAGAGGAACTGCAGCATATTTGGAATACTGCAGGTAATTTGGAATACTTCGATATCTAAATAAATATTAACAGCATCTATGTTTTTTTACCGTGAACATAACGTCGTAAGGCGCACTACGACATATAGCATTAAAAACAGGACACCATTTTGACATTCCGGCTACCAGCTCCCACGGAACAAAACGACAGATTTCAAAACTTTTTTGGTAAGTATGCAAACAACGATAATTGTTTACTCTCAAACATAAAATATTTAGTGTAATTATTCAAACTGTTATGTGACCTTTTTAGTTTATAATTTAACTTTAATTTTGTGAATATTTCTAGAATTGAAAATGTGATATGCCGTTTTAGGTTAGGATGGTATGTTGTTAATTTGGGATACTACACGTGAACTGTTACAAAGACTAGAAATTTATTAGTTTGTAAGGTCAAGTGTAACAGTATGTTAATAAAACATATAATTGTTAAAATATATATAGATAATAATATATATCAGTATATAATATAAAGTGAATATAATTTGGAATACTATATTCCAAATGTCCAATACTATATTCCAAATTACCTGCCCTCTAAGTCCTTTCACATAATTTCTAATTTTTAGCTCTTTTTGTTTTTTGATAAGGTTCTTGACTTTTGTTCTTTATGATAGTTATAAATATTAAAGTTTAATAGTTTTCCAAGTAATAAACGTATTTTTTATTGAGCTATCCCTTTTTTATTTAAATTTATTCTCAAAAAACAAACTGGTATTCCAAATATGCTGCAGTTACTCTATACTGTAAAGCAAGGAAACAATATGGGCATTCCGACGAAGACGAATCGGCAACCACTTGAGCTTAGTGCGAAAATCAGATACATGATCATATTTGCGTAATCCAAATATGAATCTTATACTAAAATTTTGAAGCCGCTCAAGTTTATTTAGTTGCTCCTCAGTTAGATCTAGATAGCTGACATCGGCATAGTCCAGGATTGGTAGAAGAAGAGATTGTGCAAGCGCAGTTTTAGTTGCTATTGGTAAAAAGTTACGCAACCGCCTCAAAGAACCAGCAGCAGCAAAGGTTTTACGACTAACTTCCTCAAAATAAAAATGGTTTAAAAAGTGGTATTTCGTAATACCTCTCCTTAAAATTTGTTCAGTAGTTTACAAACACACACACAGAGAGAGAGAGGGAGTCACTTTCGCACTTATAATATTACTAGCTGTGATCCCACGACTTGGGCCGCGAAATATAAATTACCTAGCCTATGTCATACGTGTATGGTGTAGCTTCCCGTAAGCCGGTAGGTGAAAGTTTTTTTTATATATGCTATAATTTAAAGGGATATTTATACCTAATAAAAGTAATTTAAATGAAATAATAACTATTACTAAATAAGACATAGCTCAGACAAGTAGTTTTAATTGATTTTCATTATCTTTCATCATCATCTAATTAGATTTAATTTAGAATTAACAATATTACTAAAAATAATTATTTATTTTAATTTAATAGTTAGAATAGTATTATTACTAGCTATTAACAATTCCTACTTCATTGAATTTTCTCTCTATTGCCTTAAATATTTCGGCTTAAAATAACAGGGTTAGTCTGGGAGCCTATTCAAATCTTACCTACCTCTTTATGATATTAGTATAGAAAAAACCGGCTAAGCGCGAGACGGACTCGCTTACGAAAGGTTCCGTGCCATTATTCATTGAAAAAAACGTTTGTTGTTTTCTATAGAGTTGTTCGAGATTTTTGTTTTAAATACAATGAGGTAGTATTTATAAAAAATTGTTCCCCAAATTAAACTAGATGGCGCTACGGTACGTTCTTGATTTCTGCATGACAATCCTTCCGGTTTTCTTTCATGTTTAAAAGTAAATTAGTTTTCAAAACTCAATAAACAACTCATATTCTGTTTGTACTTTTTCGTATTTGTATTGATATCTAAGTTTCGAACTTTTCAAATTTCAGTTTTTTAATATGTTGGTTAAAAAGAACGGAAATTACTGTCTTTGGTCCATTCGTTACCTGCAAAAATCAACTTTCGCTAGAGTCGCCATCTAGTGGTGGTGCTTTTTTAGTGCTTTCGTTTTTTTTTAAATACTTCCTCATTCGACTATTACTTGTACAGCCAACTTAAATTCCTCATTGGTAGACTATTACTCGTAAACCAGTGAAGCCAACTTAAGTGTGATGTTTTAATGTTCGATCTCCATACTGAAAGTTGGTATTTGTATCAGGCTAAAAAGCCAACTTAAATGTAATAGTTTTCCTTTTAACTTCGTTATATATAGGTACTAGTGCCGTAACGTTTGAATTTTTACCAACAACCGTTTAGTTGGTAGAGGGGTGGGGGTGGGGGGGCACTTGACTCTAACGAAAATTTGCTCTTTAAAGTTAATAAGTCACAAGAGGTTCACCAAATCGAAAAACGACCAGCTCATGCCCTCAATGATTTTGGAATACCTATTCAACAATGCTCCACGCTATGGGAGAATAAAGAAAAAAAAAATCATCCCCTCTTTGTATGTAGGGGAAGTAACCTTAAAAAAAATCTTTTTAAATTTTACTTTACCACTTTGTCGGCGTAATTAACGTGTACAAAGCTAAGTTACATCTTTCTAATACCAATACGCTGACAGACAGGCATGGCGAAATAATGAGGGTTCCTTGATTATTACGGAGCCCTAAAAAAGAAACTTCTTAATGAAACATGCTTATAAAATTCACTCGGTCCCTGGCATCCTGAGATGGGACTCGAACCCACGACCTTTCGCTATTCCAGGCCGACTGCTCTAACCACTGAGCTGCCCAGGACCTAGCAGGACTGAAGCCTCTTTCAAGCACTTATTACTTATTTCGCTACAACAGTATTCTCGCCAATGTTTAGGTAATCCACCCGAACAGAAAGAAAGAAATATTTTTACAAATATTTAAACTTTCGATAGAGATGAAAATTTATTCTAATAATTTTATATAATAAACTAGCTTTGCCAGCGCCAGCGGCCACCTTCCTTTTGAATCACCCTATCTATGAAAAAAAACCGCATCAAAATCCGTTGCGTAGTTTTAAAGATTTAAGCATACATACGGATATACGGACAGAGAAAGCGACTTTGTTTTATACTATCTTGTGATTTTCCATTCAGAATGCTATACTGCAAAACATTCTGAATGAAAAATACTTAAAAAATTCCACTCAAATATTGATAAAAAACTCTTTTATAATTACAATATTTAGTTCCATCGTAAATCATAGTCTTTAAAATTGGTTCATTTTAAAATTACTTACGACAGACCTCACTATATTTGCAGTTTTCATGGTGGGACCATTCTTAGAAATTGTTCCGCAAGCGTTCATAATACACCATCATTATGTTATTTTACCGTATGAAATCGAGACAAAAGTAGTTAGAAATGTTATGAGTAATGCTGCGTGTAACAAGATGATTTTGTACGATAATAATAAATAAATAGGTAGTGCTTAATATATCTTTAAAGAACAGAGACTAGAAACGGAGAATAGGGATGACGATTGAGTAAAAAAAATGCAATTCTATTTAGTCCGTCAGTCAGATAATAATAAAATATTAGATACGTATTTTTTTTTACTTCAATTTAATAAGAAATAGCTTAGATAACAGCCATTAAAGAAGAGTGGGGGCTCGCTATGTCACAGTTGAGCTGAAAACGTACCATAACGTGACGTCATGCGAAATTTCAACTCCATGTAACGCCGTAATTTTATGATTACGAAAAAAATAAAAAAATACGTGTTTAATATTTTTTAACACTCTACCTGACGGACAAACAAATAAAAATTAGGTAGTCATCATCCCTATTAAGTTCGCAATCCGACTTTATTTAGCACAATAAAATTACATTAGTTCCCGAAATCAAACTAGATGTCGCTACGGTACTTTCTTCGATTTCTCCATGACAACCCTTCCGGTTTTCTTTCATGTATAAAAGTAAATTAGTTTTCAAAACTCAATAAACAACTCATATTATATTTGTACTTTTTCGTATTTGTATTGATATCTAAGTTTCGAACTTTGCAAATTTCCGTTTTCTGTTTCCTGGATAAATTTACTTTTGCTAGATTTATTAGTGCTTTCTTCTTTTAAATACTTCCTGATTACAGAATTCACACTTCAACTTCACTGTTACACATCACTTATAACACTTCACAATACTATTAGATCATTCACCGCTCTAGTTATTGCTTACGATCGCTTGTTCAATGATGAATGCCGAGACGGGTAGTCCACCGCGTATTTATAGGAGCCAATATTACATCTAGAATGTTCTAGGTTGGCCTGCTGGTATATTCAAGGTATTACCAAAAAGTTCTAGAACAGCTACCCGTCCCTTTCTTCCTCAGTGACTGCCCATAGGGATGCAACGATATGAGTAAATACAAGTACTTACTCGATACTTTCGATACCAAGTATTTTGGTATTGATACTTTAGAAGCGAGTTACGAGTAGTATTGTGGAGTAAGTATTTGTATCGGTACTTGCTCAGTCACTCACTGCATAAAAAAAGGAGAGTCAAAAAACTTGCGTGCTCGTCTGTTTCGAACTGCATATACATCTGTGTCGAATTGCAAATGCATCATGAACCAACGGCTTCACGTGCCTCTTCCAAAACACGTTGCTCGAGACGACATTGTTTTGGTCACCCATCCCGTGACTGACCGTTACGAAAGTTGCTTAACAACAACAATCGCGGACTCTAATCCATTACGCCACCGAGCTGATTTTACTATAAGCTTGTTTTATTAATCCAAAGTTATTTTTGACAGAATGTTTCAATATGAATACGAGAAGAGACCACAATCGGCATCATCATGCGCCAGCCGCTCCACAACGCTCACCAGCTGGGATCCACCTACTCCCATCACCACGAGACCCCCTCTACCACCCAGGCCGGCGATATGCCAAAGGATGCCTAGTAAAACCACTGTAAGTTACGCCTTTGGTAGGTTGAAAACTTGGGCTTATGGCTGAGATGGGATTCGTACATGACCTTCCGCAATCCGGGCGACTGCTATAACCACTGAGCTTCCCAGGACCTAACAGGACTGACGAATGTTTCAAGCACTTGTTACTTTTCCGCTACTACAGAGCGTATCCTCATCAATGTATTGGCAAAGTAAATGTATTATATATAACGGCGGGTAGTCAGAAGGGCCTATTACGAAGCCCAAATAGATCGTCCATATCGGAGGACTATCTTTAAAATAACACTGCAGGCGTGTATACCAACGTGGATTTGTTCCATTTTATCACTTTACATACGAAAATATAACGAGATGAGCGTGATGTCGTCGGATGTCTTTACTCCTCGGCAATGGGAAACAGAATGTGTGCTAAAATGGCGGCAATTTGCTTTTGTTAACGAACTGTCAAAGTCAGTGTCACCATTCTAATAAAATTAGAAGTATCGATGATCACGCTCTCTCTACAATCGAGTAACTAGCAATTAAAATAAAAGAAACTAAATCAAACGATCTTTGTAAAGATGATGCGACATATATAACAATATATATATATTTTTTTTTATATAAAACTGTCGTATACCTTCTTCGAGTTCCGGCATGATCTCGTCCATCGGTTCAGGTTCTATCCAAACATTTTTAATTAAGAATATTTTTCAATATGTGCCTTGTGAATGTAAACTACACCAAATATAATAGAAAGAAATTAATTATAAACCAACAATAAATAATATATTCTAAATAGTACCCAATGATATTTTTTTACGAACTTGTAACAGCATTTTTTTTTACGTCGACTTCGGCATATTATCAGTTGCACAAGAATGTCTAATTTGTATCGAAAATGTACTTTAACTAATGACAATTTTAATGGACGTTTGTGCTGCTGTATTTTATTACACTTTAAAATACAATAATCGTTATTAATTTTTGATTAATTTAGCATTCTAAATTCTTTTCTGAAAAAGTATTTGAAATAATAAAAAAAACTCAATCTTAAAGTATCTAAAATACGCCGCGCTGGGGGGACTATTAAATTGTTAGTTTTGGAGCGCTCTCCCAACGCGACGTATTTCTTTTTTGAATTATTAATACATATTTAAGTACTTTAAGATTAAGGTTATTTTATTATTTTTGAGTTATGGTATCGGGGATTTTTAAAATTAAAATTTATTTTATTCTTATTATAATGTTGATTCTGGTCGAAAATTTTCAAATTTGCATTTAAGGTAAAGATTACATTAAGGTCAAGCTTGGTCGCTTTCATTTTACTTATTAATTACTAGTTCTTGTTTCTATAACTAATAATTGTTACTAAATGTTTATATTGGTCTTCAACTCTTTAATATAATAATTTTCTCATTAACCGAAGTTAAGAACACTCTCGATTGTCATCAGTATTCTCTTTCAGTGTATGTATATTCTTTGAGACCCCACTCGAGTGTATTTGCAGACATTCGGTTATTCTTCCTCACTTTAAGCCCTCACAACTTTAAAACGGCTCTACCGATTTTCATTAAACATGTTTAAGAACTCATAAGTCACCTTTAATACAAAAAAGCCAAATTGAAATCGCCTCATACACAGACACACGCACACAGACTCGTCAAACTTATAACATCCCTCTTTTTGCGTCGGGAGTCAAAAACATTCACAGTTATAACAACTTCAATGCATTATATTGATACCTATTTACGAAAATTGGATCTATTTATTGAATCCAAAATATTGAAAATGAAACATTAATTGCGCAATTATAACCTCAAAATATGATATATTTTGAGTCATCATAAGATTCCACAACTTGGTCGCGGTATAATAAATACATTTTGAGAATCAGTTAGTGAAACACAATAAAATAAGTATTTTCCTATAATTATTGGCTTTGGGGCCACCAATGTATATGGACGCCGAGCAATGTCCTTTGACACATTCGTATAACATGATATGTTGTTGACTGTACCGTTAATGTTGGTCACGCCACGTTTCAATAATTCAATAGCTAACCTCGCCGACCTCTGATTTACTCACGGTCCATTGTTTACAAACACACACGCATTGAATATTGGTTCATCTAGTATTGAAATTGTCAACTTATTTTTTTTATTGTTATTTATTTGGTTCTAATACAGCAACTTCCGATTTACGCCTCTAGATTCAATATTCTATCGGCAAGCATTGTTCCTGGGGCCTAAATTGTCTAATTTTAAAATCTATCACTACCCCTATTAAAGGAATAGTGATTATTATAACTATTTACGGAATTAACTTTTGAAATTGCAATCGTGTTTGGAACGAATAATGATTTGAATAAGCGAGTGCATAATAAAAACTTAGTTGACCCTCCGAAAGATTGCAGTTAGCATTAAAATCTTTACTTTGACATTTCTCGATAGTTTTCAAGGATATTTGCTTCTAAAATTAGCGTCAAATAAACATTATAGTTCGTTCGATATCATTAAAAAAACTTCGCAGTCGTTATTACATGTTAAATAGTTGTATACTCCATTCACTATAACATTAGAAAAAAGAGGGTCATAGAAGCAGCAGTGCAGAACATTTTATTTTCAAGATAAAATTAAAAAATCTATATTAGTTTTGTTGAGACTTTGAACGTTAGGTAGTCTGAAAGAGCTGGACAATTTTCCATTTTTTATGATACCTCGGGGTTGAGATGAGGCCAGCATTTTATAAATTCATCTTTTAGTCCTAAGCCAACATGGAACTAAAACTGAAACTATCTGTGTGTTTTGAAAAATTCTAATTGTAAGTGTAATAAGTTAGACTATTGATGAAGACATTGAAAAAACTCCCTGAAATGTCAAAGTTTGAGGGTAGGTATGGGGGCCTAGAGCGTAATTTTTATAGGCCACTCGGGCCTGTACCGACATCGTCCATATTTACCAAAACTTAACAACAAAAATAAAACAATAACATCACAACAATAGGGAAATATAAGTTGCTCACAAAATATCAAGCTAGTTTTCGTTTTCATTTTCATCCAATATAGTTCCATGATACTTACGCTGCCTGCAGCCATTATTCTGCTGCCAGCTCAACAGATGCTCCATTTACTTAGGGATGAAGCGGAAGTAAAGATATTCGATGAATAAATGATTTTCAAAGGTGTTTTATGATAATCTTATTTCATAAATTACCTATGGGAATTCCAGCAAATACTAGCTAAAAGGAGACGACCCACGCTCCATACATAGTTTGCCCCACAAGTAGAAGCCTATGCGTCACGGTCAAATTTAAATATATCTTAATATTTCATTCAACAATAAGAATAAATATCATTTGTTAACCGACGAAGCTAAAAGAGGGTTATAATTTTGACGCGTATGTCTGTCTGAGGCATCGTAGCTTCCAAGCGAGTGAACCGATTTGGAAAATTCATTTTTTTCATTTCATAATGCTATACTCGACGTCCGTTTGAGTGGATTGCCTGAATATTGATGAAAAAACACTCACTAGTGACGAAAAGTGCTTGAAAACTTCGTCAGTCCTGTTGGGTCTTGGATAACTCAGTGGATAGAGCAGTCGCCCGCATTGCGTAAGGTCGTGGGTTCAAATCTCATCTTAGAGTACGTGGGGCTTGGTTTGCCAGATGGGCCGAGTAAAATATCTGAGTCTAATTTCATAAAATCGGGATTACTCGGCACAAAAACCGATACATTCATCCTTCGCCTGAGATAAATATTGATAGTTGAATTATTTCTACGTCATTTCAGCCGTTACCGAGCGAATGACTGATTTTTAACATTTGACGGGACATTTACTTCTTTTTCTGGACTCTAGACATCCTCCGAAAAGTTGGAACAATCCAGACCAATTCCGATTATCTGGCAACCCTACCTGGGGTTGGTGAATTTTTAAAGTATGCATTGAGTATCTACAATAAATTACCTAGGGAAAAAGTAAACTTGCCAATAAAAGGTATACTGTACCGCTTCTTTTTGGATAACTGTTATTACAGTGTAAATAAATATTCAGCAGATAAATTAAAAAATGGTAGTTTTATTTTATTGATTTTATGACATAAGTTTATTTCTTAGAATCTGCAGACAAAATATGTATAGCTTTAGTATAATAACGTAAAGAAAAATAAAATATTTTTAGGAATTTAATGAACCACGGAAACGCCCTGTAATTAGTTGTCGTCGCAACCTTTAACAGGTTTGTTTACCACCATGTGACGTCACACGTAAACAGGAACCTGTCATCTCAAAAAGTGTTATTGGAGAGACGCAAAATTTATAACATAAAATTGAACTTTAATTTATCTTCTGAAATACTATTTGTAAATAGGTTATGTCTCCTTGACATATTTACCGGCGTGTGACGTCACAAATACCATGTGATCAGCGCCATTACATAGAGCACCATTTTAGCGCGCTTTTGGCTATTAAAACTTTAACAATTACTTTAATCGAAAATAGAACAGTATCCCATGAAATATATTGATAGTGTTTGAAATATATCAAACAACCATCTAAAATAATTATCAGAAAAGCGTCAAATACCCTATTGAAGACTTCTTTATTATGTTAGAAAGTGAACGGACAGTTAAGTTTCGTCTTTAATCAATATGGCGTTTGCAGGTTCCTCTGAAGGTGTGGATAATAGCGAGTGCCTCATGTTTCGCGGTGTGCGCAGCACTGGTGTTGGCCACGGTGGTGATCACCAAGTGGGGCTCCACCCAAGAGTACACCAGGCAAATATACGAGGAGCCGGTGAGGCACTGTGTGCTAGTAGTCTATTAATGAAATCTATTTGAATTCCTCTCAAAAGTATACCGATTGTGATAGCGATTATTGTATAACTTTCAAAGTGGCAATTCATTCAAGTCATTAGTTAAAATAATTTATTATAATAGCTGCGATACCTGCATCGCGCAGATTGAGTTTCCCCGCGACAACAGCTATAACAAACTCCGTAGCCGTATGGTTTCCATGCCGATTTCGAGGTGTTGTCATATCTGGGGTCCTTCCGGGTTCAATTCTCGGTCGAGTCAATGTAAAAAAATGATTATTTTCTATATTGTCTATGGTCTGGGTGTTGTGATACCTTCGTTGTCTCTGATTCTCCATAATATGGGGGGCTTTAGCTACTCATCTTGGAATCCGAACAATGTATGTGATAATTATCTATTCGATTATTTAAATTGGACCGCAATCCACCTGCTATCAACACGGAGGACAATTTCCCATTAGTCTCCAAATAAGACCCATAATCACCTTCCGGTCTAACATACCAACAAATCTCTTTTCCAGGAATCAGTATATTCAAAACCTCATCCAATCTATATAACGCAGAAGCCTCAAAACACTGATGAAGACCCAACAACCAATACTAACGAAATAGACGCTGACATGGAAATTATAGAAAAACTATCCATATTCAAAAACGTTGTAGCTCAAAGAGCGTCAACAAAAAAAGATCTCATATCAAAACCCCAAATTCATCCAATACACGACACTATAGAGCATGCTGAAAGAAAAATCGAGAAGAAAGACAAACCAAAATATCCTGACCAACAAGATTTGGAAACTGTCGATTACACTACAAAACCTATACCTTCTTTCAAACCTACTCTCCCAGACGTTTTCATTCAAGGACAAGTGAAACTTCCTGATGGTTATTTATTAGGTTTTAAGAAACCCAATCCAGATTATGAAGAGTATTATAGAGATGATAATTTATACGACGATTATATGCAGAGTAATTCGATGACCAATTATTTGATAGAAAAAGTTCAAGAGCTACATGATTGGATAAATTCTGATCCCGATTTTGATTCCGTTAAGAACGCATCGAAGATAGCAAGGAACAGTAATGAATTCACTGAAGTATTAAAGGCTTTGAATCAGAGTCTTGTACAAGGGAATGTCTCTATTGTAATGAGTAAGTTAAAGGACTTGTACTTGGGTGATAGTAATAAGACTCTGAGTCATGGTAGAAAGATGATTGTCAGTAACAGTACCGACTTACTCTCATTCGGTATATTGACATTGGATATTTTGTTGCTACATAATATACAGCAGATGGCATGGGAGAATCAGGTAAGTGTTATTTTTTATGTTTTAGCTTATTGCATTTCTGACATATCCAATAGCACGCAAAGTCAAAGTCAAAGTCAAAATAATCTTTATTCAAATAGACTTCTTAAAAGTACTTTTGAATCGTCCAACATTTTTTCCCTACCACTCGTTCAGGACGTCTTTTGGCTGATAAGAAGAACGAGCAAGAAACTCACCAGCTCTAATATGAGTAATGACATTTACAAAAACCATGTCATTACCAGATCAATACATTATAAACAGAGATAAAAAAAACTATGGTCTTATAATAATAACATAATCATTTAATAATAATGGAAACAAGATAATGAGTTTAGAAGTAATCACCTATCCAGTTGCTGGATCATCTCAAGTCCAAGCGTTACGCGATTGATTTGATTCTGAATAATAATAATAATAATTCATTTATTGCATGTCACATAGTAAAACAGGTGTTATTATTAGGTACAGTTTATGTGACACCCTGTAAGGGTGTAGCAAATTAAAATTAAAATTTAAAATTAATGAAAGGTGTATCTTGGGCCATTCGCAGCTTTTTTAATATCCCATTTTTGCGTTGTTTATCAATTTCATTATTCTTCATCCGACACTCTTTTTACATTTCCAACAGAGAATGCCTCAGTTGATTTTTTGATCAAATAAGAGACAACTAATAATATCTGAACGGGGCCCACAGGCTACAGGGGTTTATGGCGTGTGGAAGCAAAAATTCCATTTGGGAACCCAACTAATTTTGATACACTATTCAAGGCAAGGCATAGTGAATCCTCATTTGCGAAGAGCAGGTTAGGTGTCAAAATTTAGCCATCTACCAAGGCATATTGGAGAGATATATCAATTGTGTATCTAAAACTCAAACTGGTTGACAGTGGTTGCAGACCTCAGAAACAGTTGTAGCTATCTCTCATCACGCAAAAAAAGGCCAAGAGGGTTCTAATTAAAACGGTTGTAGTTACTCATGACGCGAAAGAAGGCCAAGAGTGTGTCCACTTATGGATTCCTGCTCAAAATAATACGTTTCTGCAAGATATGCTTACCAAAATATATACCACCGCGGTTAAGACTGTGTAATTCCACGTCTACTAAAGCTTAGACTAGGAACATTGAACGTCACAACTATATAAGGGTTATATCCATGCCCATCGTATCCTTAACACTATTTATACCTCTGCTGCGATCGATTACAGTTCCGCTTGCATTGTTCTATAATTGTTTTTGGGTTAGTTGGGTTAGTTATAATTGTTTGGCACTCTGAGATGGGATTTGAACCAATGACCTTTCGCAATCTGAGCGACTGCTCTAACCAGGACCTAATAAGACTGACGAATCTTTCAAGCGCTTGTTACTTTTCGCTACTACAGAGCGTATCCTCATCAATCATGGCTTGAAGCCATCCACCCGAACAGCCGAAAAAAATATTATTATTAATATTTAAACTTTCGAAAATTATTCTAATTATTATATTTGATCAATGTTTCATTCACAATGCTATGCTAAAAAATATTCTTAATGATCAATCTCCGTAAATATGACCACGTGTCTGCCCATCGCTCCCTTTTGAAATGGATGCCTATTCGAAAGCGTAGAGATGTCCGTGCTCTAACTACCCTGTTTTCTTTGTTGCAATCACCTAACGCTCCAAGCTACCTCACTCCACACTTTCAGTACTTATGTACGAGTCATACAAAAGACCTTCAATCTTCTTCTAATAGACTACTTATGTGTCCTGCTCATCACTCTGACATCATCCACTCTTCCTTTTTCGTTAAAGCCATTATCCTATGGAATGCACTCCCCACAGACATCAGAATGTCCGCCAGTCGGTTTGCTTTTAAAACCAAGTTGCGCAATTTAATATTAGATCAGGCAAAATCATAAAAATTGCTTTCTCATTTCTACTAGGCATAGTATTTATAAGTATGTATTGTATTTATTTTTATTATATTATATAATGACCTTTCGCGAAATTTATTAAGAATATATTTCAGTATAGCATTGTGTCGACGTCATAACTCTTACTGTAAACTATAAAGGCCTAAATTTCGCTACTTAAACTTATTGTTATAATATGCCAAGAAGTAATGTTAAACTGTAACAGATATTGTGAAATTTGACATAAAACTTAACTTTAACTGCAATTATGGTGCAACCGAGACTTATACCCGGTTTCTGAATTGAAAATCTGATGTAGAGCACGTCTCAAACCGTGCTTAAGCCGTTTTAAACGTTATTTAAACAGGTTTTCATTACTGATTTATAATTTTTTAATGATTAGTTGATAGCAATTTGATAAAACTAAGACGTTTTGCTATATGAAACGGAAAAAAGTTAAGTAATTAAGAATAATCAGTTGAGATTTTGTGCTTTTCTTAATTCAGAAACCGGCTGTTAGTCTCTTTTTGCATAGTTGTGGTGAATTAGAGCCTGTGGATTTGTTGGCAAATTCTTCAATTAAAAAATTATTAATCTTACAGGATTAAAGTGTTTTAATGTCTTTAATTTATATGAAAATTACATGACCGTCTCGTTTCGTTAGTAGTTGACTGTAGTATAAAGATTTTCTTTTACAAACAAAGATCTTACCATAGTATTGTAACAATAGTAAAACAATAACTTTAACCGATGAAACGTAGGCTGTTCCAGTTTACAGTTAAAGTTATGATGTCATCCGACCATTGCCAAATGATAAGTCACTATTATTTGCTTAATTGGTACTTTACATGTTTGTTAAAGTATACTTTAGTAATATTTATGCAGTCTGCGCGCTGACCAGTGTAGCTAAGCCAATACAGCTGGTTCTATTAAATAATAATCTGTAAATATATTACAGGAATCAGCTCGCACTAAGATGCTGAAGGACCCAGACGTTTTCGCGTTCAACGCTCTATTCATGGAACCTAGTAAAGTGGAAGCGAGACAGAACGAGATTAACGGACACGACTTATTAACATTCTCGTGAGTAATTGCAAAATCAATTTTATTTATATAGGAATTCAAGCTTTGCCCGCGTGGTCTAGAACCGTTACGTATTAAAATGAAACATATATGTTGATTCAAGATATTAAAAAGAAACCTTATTCAAAATTTGAGATATCTAGCAATAAGGATGATGCCTGGCTATAAAAGAAATGCTAGTTAGTTCGTCAGTCAGGTAATAGAAAAATATTAGATACGTATTATTTTTTTACTTCAATGAGGAAGTATTTAAAAAAAAACGAAAGCACTAAAAAAGCACCTCCACTAGATGGCGACTCTAGCAAAACTTGATTTTTGCAGGAAACGAATGGACCTAAGCTAATTCTCTTAATATATTTAAGAAACTTGTCAGAGAGCACTACCTGTCCATGAAAGTATTTATATAGGTATTATATATGTTTATATATGTATTATATTTTATATGATAATATTTATTATATTATAGTATATGTAGGTAAATTATAATTGAGTATATAACAATTATCAATTATGAATATTTATAATTTTTTTATTTGTACACCATCCACTACCCCATCATTAGGTCTTTTATATTTAACTCCATCCCAAGGTTGCCTGGAAGAAATCACTTTTAGTGATAAGGCCGCCAATTGTACGTCTCCTGTTTTTCTCATATAAGTGTATATTGGCTTTGTGTGTGCAATAAAGAATATTCTATCTATCTATCTCTAATATAACCATTTCCATGCCTTTTAACTAACATATTAAAAAACTGAAATTTGAAAAGTTCGAAACTTAGATATCAATACAAATACGAAAAAGTACAAATAGAATATGAGTTGTTTATTGACTTTTGAAAACTAATTTACTTTTATTCATGAAAGAAAACCGGAAGGGTTGCCATAGAGAAATCAAGAAAGTACTGTAGCGACATCTAGTTTAATTTTGAGAACTAATATTTTTTTAATACTTCCTCATTTAACAAGAAATAAGTTTAATAACTATACATAAAATTTAAGGAATGGGGCCAAGCTACGTCGTAACTATGCAGAAATGACCCAGGTATGACAGGCAAATTTTTCGTCTTTAAACAGCATAAAAACGTATTCTGAATAGGGATGATGACTAATTTTTGTTTGTTTGTCCGTCAGGTAGAGTGTTAAAAAATATTAAACACGTATTTTTTATTTTTTTTCGTAATCATAAAATTACGGCGTTACATTGATTTGAAATTTCGCATGACGTCACGTTATGGTACGTTTTCTACTCAACTGTGACGTAGCGAGCCCCCACTCCTCAACTTTAATGCCTGTTGTCTAAGCTATTTCTTGTTAAATTGAAGTAAAAAAAAATACGTATCTAATATTTTTCTATTATCTGACTGACGGACTAAATAGAATTGCATTTTTTTTTACCCAGTCATCATCTCTATTTTATGTTACGTAAAGATAAAATGTTTTCTTCAGCAAACGTCAAGGCTTCCATCAGGACTCGGAGGAATTCGACATCGGCACCAGCATCTTGGACAACTTCCTGGAGATCGGGGTGTCCACCACTCGAGCGGCCATACATCTCGGACGGGCTTACAAAAACACCAAGTAAAAAACGTTAAACCAAAACCACTAATAGACCAAAGAATCTATTTCATAACTATATCTGCTTTCAAAATCTATAAGAAACCCTTTCAGTTATAGCTATTAATGGAGTTATGTAATGTTTAAAGTTGTAATTGTTTTTGGAACGACTGATTTGAATGATCAAGAAGCTTAATGAAAACTTAGTATCTGAATCTTAAAGTAATATTAGGTCCAGTGGCCTAATTGTCTAATTTTATAATCTATCACATTCCCTTTCAAACATATAGCGGTTGTGATAATGTAACTTTTAAAGTCCCTATCGCTGTTGGAACGAATGATGATTTGAATGATATAAATATCATAGACAATTAATTTCGTTTGACATTTCTCCAAAGCTTTCAAAGATATTTGTATCTGTCACATTGCTTAGGCAATTACGGCTAACGTAAAGGGTATGTTCCGATATACACTGCGAGCACTGCGCAGTGGTCTTACTGCTGAAAAATCCGTTCCGTTATGGACTGCCAGTACACTGCTACAGTACCCTAGGGAAATTTATGACGTCATAAATTGCCACCATATTTGTACTGTGAGCACTGGAGATTTCGAGGTAAGGTGCTCGCAGTGCTTTTGATCACGTGATCAGTCGAAACAGAATCAGAAAATGATAAGTTTCTAAATAAACAAAAAAAAAATACTTACGTTTATTTATAAGATGGATTTAATTGATAAATTTTTTTTTATACACAATTTTATAATGTTAACAAAAAATAGGATTAACAGTATACTGGACTGCGTTCCGTTTTAAAAAGTCACCAGTATAACTAGCTATAAAGGAACGGGCTTCCAGTATACTAAATTGACGTCATACTGTTCAGTCGTCGCAGTGTATATCGGAACATACCCAAAATAAACATTATAATTTATTCTATATCTTTCAAAGAAACGTCCCGATCGCATGTCAAATATTTCTAATTTCTGTTTCCTCACGGAAGAAACGCTAATGACGGTGGCGGTGATGGTAATGATGGCGGCGAGGTTGATGATGACGGTGATACTAAACCAATTATACTAATGACGATAATAATGAACTTTTCAATGCAGTTGCTCATAAAGCGCTATTTTTTTAATCCATTGTAAACACCGAAAGTGAGTCTTTAAACACGTGTTAAATAAAAATGTACTGAAATCCTTTACTGCACACGTGCTTAAAAGTATTTTTTTCAATTTTTTTGGCCGAGCACCAAAGAAACTAAACAAAAAAAATTGATGAAAATATGTCAAACTTTAGAGGCAAAACTATTTCAAGGAGCCTAGAACGAATATTTTCAAATAAAATGTATGACACGAAAACATGTTCAAATATCACGTTTAATTTTAACAAATAATTTATACCTTTAATACATACTTAGTTTTATTAACCTATATATTTGTTTTATTTCCTCGCAAAAAGCATTGAAAAATGTTGCAAGAAACTTGAGCGTAGAAGGTTTTTTGAGTTCGTGCCAATGAAAACCCTCGCTACGCGCGTGTTTTCAATTTGGCCCTTATTCGTAAAACCTTACTTTCCGCACTCGTATCTTAAATAACTATTAAGATATACTCTTTGTGTTATTTACAGAGCGATCCTCGCGCAGTTGTCTAATCATGAAACAGCACCTGAGAATGTCCATAATCAGCTCTCCAGGCGCATAGACGAGAACACGCACGCTCTCAACCACCTGCAGACTTCATTTGAAGGCGGCACCGCTAACGGGTCTTACTATACAGAATTGGATTGTCTATGGTTGTTGTACTGTAGAAATCTGGTCGCTACAACCAAATTGAACGCACCATATGGCATCATGGCTAGGATAAATGGGTATGAATTTTCTCTTTATCTTTAAAAGATCCTAAAAAAAAATCACGTGATGAAGTTCAATATTATTAGTGCAATATCTTCCTCACACATCAATGGTGACAGATATATAATAATGTTACGGAGTGCAGCAGCACGGTTCGTCTATACATTACTAGATGGCGTTATACGCCATTGAATCGCGCCAACTCTGTCGAAACTTCGTATGTCATATAGGTAAACATCGGGTCGCGGTCGGCTTTAAGGGTCTGGCACTGGAGAAGAAAGGGACGGTATAATATTGTAATCTTTGGGGACGGGTATTCGTTCTAAATATTTCTGGTAATGAATGCCTAGAATACATTTATTTGTAAGGCCAAGGCTAACCTAGAATGTTCTAGGTTAGGTAGTGGTGGTGGGTGATATCAGATTTTCACGATGTCGATTTGAAAATATATATCGATATTCAATGTCGGAATCTGTATAGATATTATTATTATACGATTTGTATAACTCACTCTTAGTTATAGGTCCTAACCTAGAACATTCTAGATGTGGTATCGGCCTCTAGAAATATCCGGTGGACTACCCATCCCGGCATTCTTTTAATGACTAGTGATGTCAATACGAGAGCTATCGAAAGCGAAATTCGAAGCGAATACTAGTGAACTGGAAACTATCCGGACTATCTAATAGTGTTGTGAAGTGTTATTATCAGTGACGTGAAATAGTGAAGTTGAAGTGTGAATTTTGTAGCTGAATTATTATTATAATTATAATATTTGATTAATTTCGCATTTTTAAAAATTTCTTTCGGCCGTTTTGGGTGGATTGCTTGAACATTGATGAGAATACGCTCTGTAGTAGCGGAAAAGTAACAAGTGCTTGAAATATTCGTCAGTCCTGTTAGGTCCTGGGTAGCTCAGCGGTTAGAGCAGTCGCCCGGATTACGAAAAGCCGTGGGTTGGAGTTTCACCTCATTGTGCCAGGGACCAAGTGGATTTTTTAAAGCATTTTCAATAAGAATATTATTATTGTAATTTTATTGTGTTCAAAAAAGTCGGATTGTGAACTATATTATTATAATTGGCGTTATTTTTTATCCCGAACCCTAAGTCTTTACAATAATATTATACTTCAGGTAGATGATACAATAGCGGAATGCAATTAGTTGAGGTACTATTGAAATTAATATATATGAATGAATATTTTTAAATAGCTCAGTGGCGTAGTGGATAAGCGCCGCGGCCTGCGATCGTTGTCGTTAAGCAACGTTAGCAAGGGTCGGTCACGGGATGGGTGACCGAAAAATTATTATCTCGAGCTACTCCGTGCTTCGGAAGGCACGTTAAGCCGTTAGTCCCGGCTGCATTTGCAGTCGTTAATACCCTCCAATCCGCATTAGGCCAGCGTGGAGGGTCATGGCACATCCTCCTTAACCATCCATAAGGAAGGCCTGAGCTCCTGCAGTGGGGACGTAAAAGGGCTGATGATGATGATGATGATGATGATGTACATATTAAAAGAATTTACCCAATGATCTAAGTCCTTGATCTCTTTATAGGATGGCGCTTCGCATGTTGACCGGGGAGGTGCCATCGGAGCGTGCGATAGAAACAATACTAGTCGAAGCTCTCTCCGGCTGGACGGAGCTAAAGTGTGATCATATGTTTCCCAGGTGATAAACCCATCTGTTCCGATGATTATATATATAAAGACCCTTTCGGTCTGCGATACGGAAGTTAAGCTACTTTCCCAAATACCGGTTATAGGATGGGTGACCAAAAATTCTTCTGGGAGGCACGTTACGCTGTTGGTCCCGAAGGTTGCAGCCATTGACTCCCACCAATCCTAACTGGGCCCGTGTGGTGGTCATAGCCCATTCTCCCTATTCAATTTCATCCTAGCGAGGCACGTTACGCTGTTGGTCCCGGAGGTTGCAGCCATTGACTCCCACCAATCCGATCTGGGCCCGTGTGGTGGTCATAGCCCATTCTCCCTATTCAATTTCATCCTAGCCTATGCCCCTATAGCTGTTTGACTATCATGATATACAGCTTGGTGACATACAGACAGCGGACTCTTAGTAATAGGATCCCATTTTTACCTTTGAATACATAACTCCAAATAGGGAGTTAATATAATATTTGAATTTTATTTCTAGATGCAGCAAGGTGAATGCTTCTACAGTTGTTCTAAACACCATATTACAACCTTTCGGCAAGTCATAGTTTAAAAAGAAAATAGTTTTTATTACTTGCAAATGTGTTAGAAGACCCGCAATGAATTCCGTTTTCGGCCTCACGCCGAATATTGTCCTTCGGTGTCTCTTCTCTGATTATAGAATTATTTACAGAGGAGAAGAAATATGATTGGATGAAAAATTAAGACATTGTACAACATGATTTCACTTATAACATTTTGTTGCTACAATGAGGAAGTATTAAAAAAAAACATTAGTTCCCGAAATCAAACTAGATGTCGCTACGGTTCTTGATTTCGAGTCGCCATCTAGTGGAGGTGCTTTTTAGTGCTTTCTATTTTTTCGTGAATACTTCCCCCTTGAACGAACATTTAAAAAAAAACTCTATGGTAAAAAGCAGCACTCAAACACAAAAAATTATTTTTTATTTTATTTTATTTATTCAGGTATCAAACAGTCACATACAGATAATGTTGAAGCTACTGTTAACAAACAGACCTATAGTACCATAAATTGACAGCATAATAATATCGATAGCAAGCATTGCATGTAAATAACGAACATCACATAAACAGTGCACCATTAGCAAACAAAACTACGGCCATAAACCACCCATTTTTAAGGAAATAAATGTATATCTCATATGAGCCACATTAATTATTACAAAATTACTATTTAAACAATAATTCCCTCACTCTTGCCTTGAAAACATTAATTGAAATTGAAAAAATATCTATCTCATTCAAAAACCCATTGTAAAAATTGCATGTTCTCCTGAGAAAGGTATTCTGCGCATATTTCGTATGACAAAACGCAATACAAAAAGTATTCTTCGAACGTGTTGAGGATCGAGGAACCTTCAGTGATATTTTTTGTAACAAAGCTGCCGAATCAATATGACCGAGAATTAGCTTATACGGGAATATAGAATCTAAGTAGTGTCGCCTACTGGATAGTGATTGTATTTTATGTTAGTATATTATATTGCAACCTCTTCCAATTTGACATACGGTTGTTAAGCTTTTAAATAGCCAGTACGGACGGGTGACCAAGAATTTATTATCTCGTATCCACAGTCCTTTGGAAGGTATGCTAAGCCGGTCTCGGCTGCAACTACAAACCTTAACACCCACCAATCCACACTGGGCCCGCGTCATGAGTAATTCTCCGTATACGAGTTGAGTCGACTCCACTCTAAGGTAGGCCTATGCTCCAGCAGCGGAGACTTTAATAGGTTCAATGAATTTGTCAATAGTCTCAGATATAGTGACGCCGCTGACAATGGAACTTCAGGGGCCTAATTATCTAATACTAAATCTATCGGGATCGATTTCAATTTGATATTTGAAAAATACAAGAATTTCACGCTACTATTTCATATGTGGATCGTGATCGTTTTTTTAAAGATATTGGTCTAAATTATAATTTTTTTAAAGTCTAAATTGTAAATTGGAATTCAAATCATCAATCAATCAGCCTTAAAAGTTACATAATGCCATAAATCGCTGTCTCTGAAAGCGGTTGCGATAGATTTTAAAATTACACAATTCTTAACCGACTGTTTATTTAAAAGTAGTTAAACTACATTTGATTTTCAACCTTAAAATATTGAGACTATGGTTCAAAATCAACTGTTGATATTTTATATGTCGTGGTTTCCAGTATATTTATTGATAATCTTAAATTTTCTACATTGTAAGTAAAAAAAGAAAAATAAGGGAGCTTATGAGTTTCGGGTAACCGTTCTTCTTGTCAACTATGACTTGAACCTTTCTTAAGTAACGTTCATATTTAAATGTAAATGTACGTGTACTATTTAAAAAATGTAATAGTATAAATACTTTATATTGTAATTTCAATAATAGACTGATGTTAAATATAAAATATAAATTAACTTTGTTTTTTATTTAACTTTTATCATTTTCAGACAAGAAGGGTACAGGGGTAAAACAAGAAATGTCACAAAAACAAAAAATTAAGTAATTAACATTGTAATTTGACAAAGTCAAAAACATTCTTAAGTGTCACTTAAAATTATAAACTACTAATAGGAACTTTAGTTTACCTTATAAAGTATTATTTTTAGGAACATGAAATATTAAATGAAAATGTATTTATTTTAATATTTAAAAAATTAAAGTAATTCGCCTTTGGAACATATAAAAACTGGTAATGTCCACCGTGTCCCATACAAGGAATGTCCAACTTAATATTTATTTTACTAATTAATGAGGAATGCCTTCAAAGTAGGATTGAGCCCCCTCAGAACAAAATCTTTTTCTATTAAATCCTTGTACTTTTCTGCACTAATAGGTAAAAAAATTTGATAGGAAAATTCTGGCAATTCAAATTCATTTAATATGTCTGATCCAGTTCCCTTTTTTGACATTTGGGACTGCACAGGAAATGAGCATTTTTTCAGATATTGATTTCGAAAAAAATCTGAAAATTTTTTGATTACTTCTCCTATTCCTACTTCAATCACCTCAAAAGGTTTGGGTCTTTGGCGACTAACTCTCAGCAAATCATACCACTGGTATGGAACATATTTTTGTCACATTCTAAGTTGACTTAAGTATTTTGACAGCTTGGTCATTCCTTTTTACGTTCTGTTACACTATGGACCTTCCCTGTTTTGTTCCTGTATACAGTTTAGAGATTTATGTAGTACATCTGACTACACTTGTTTTTACGCTTTTGTGTAATATCGAATAAAAATACGCGGGAAAATGAAGGTATTGCCATCAAAAATAAACTTTTTGAATTTTTGTGACATTCCTGGTTTTGCCCCTGTACCCTTCATGATATCACTGTTGGGCCATAGACCTTCTATCTTTAGAATTGCAGAGGTAGAACGGGCCATAATCAACCATTCGGGCTTTATACGCCACTTATGGGTATTATTATCTAAATAAGACATATCTTTACGCTCGAGAAAATGTTTTATTCCAGTATTTGTGTCCAGCTCGCTGTTGTAAGGGACTCGCTACATTCTCTTTCACTTCCAAGCATCAAATCAAACACTATATTATAAAAAAACAAACTTTATTGAATATTTAAATTACATAATTGCTGTCTAGTCTCATCATATACTTGTGTAATGAATCCATCAGCCTACCAATAACTTTGTTAGAAGTGTTTAATTTATTAAACAATTCCATTAGCTGTTTCTCATTCCAAAATTGCTCTTTTGATTCCATTTCAGCCATTAATTTTGTTAAAGTAATTTCCAAAGTATCAATACATGCAACTATGTAACCTATTATAAACATATCGTCTGATAAATATTTATCTTTGATTGTTTTTATAGGACCAATTTTCTGTTTTATGTCTTTAAAAGCGTCAGTAACGATGCTAATAAGATTCCCTTTCAATTCTTTTGCAACATCAACTGATTTATCATAATCATTAACATTTTCATTTCCTACTACTTCATGAGGTTGATAAATTTTAAAACCATTACTTGAATCAAAAGATCTTCTAGTGTTAGATACAGTATCATTTTTGTAATCATCTGCTTCAGTCTTTCTATCATTCTTGCTATCGACCACCTTTTCAATAGTATTGTTAAGTTCTCTCTTGCGTCTCGAAGTCAGGTTTGTGTCTTGTGTATTAGTTAGAAATGGAAGATCAGTAGGTATATTCAAAACAATAAAGCCTTTATCATTTTTTGTTATTGAGTTATGGTCCTCTAGATTTTTATTTATCTTAGTCAAAATATGATTCAGATGATCAAGAACATCAGTTAGATTGTTTTGATTAATGTTTTTCTGTGTTTTCTCTTTAATATCTGTTATGTTCAAATCTATATTTGACTTTTGATCTGTCCTCGTTGGTGTTGTAGTAGCCCTATTAGGTGTTTGGAATATATATCGAAACCAATTCATTAATCTTCGACTTTCAGGCATTTCTTCAGATCCCTCGTCAATTGGAGATTTATTTTCATGTTCGATGAGTTTTTCTAAAGTGAATCTGTTTATTCCCTTGTTATCATATGCTTTGTCACTGAACACATTCTGTAGCCAAATCGAGAATCTTCTGTGTTCTTCTTCTTCATTCTTTTTTGTATTGTTCTCTATTATTTCTCTGGATTGAAGTAAAGGTGATGTATTATCATTGTTGTCATCAACAGCAGGTCTAGTCAAAAGATGTGGGTTCAAATTGTGAATGAAGTTGAGTATATCATCTTTGAGTACCGGTTTAACTGTTATTTCATCTGTTACATTTTTATTGATGACAGATTCTAGAATTTTCAACGCTTTCAAGATTTCTTTGTTTTGTTGTTCAGATGTATCCGCATTTTGTGTAATGCTAAGTAGTAATCCTGGTAAATTAATAATAAAAATTATATATTAAGCATTATTTAAATAAGAAAAGTGAAAATTACCCGAATGCCTTCGACAGAAGGATGGTATGGCCTGCCTTTTTTTTTTGCTCGACTTGGTGGGAGCACTTCTATGCACTCAATTGAAAAAAAAAAATGCTTGACATTAATAATGTTAAATTTAATCTAATTTGTTCTAAAACAATAGCCACCATTGGCATAAATGGTATTTTAATTACAAAAATAAACATTATTTTAAACTCACCCACTGTTAGGAAAAATAACATGGCGCATTGCACAACAACTAAAACAATTCTAATTTATTATTACAAAATTTCGTTTAAAATTACATGTCAAGATTAATACCGAGTAATAAGACAACATTTCAGCGATAATGCAAATTAAATTCATGGAATTGTGATAATGAGTGAAAACTATTTAGTAAAAAAGTAATTATGTATATATGTATGTATGGCGTTTCTTGTTATCTACACAGCAACACAAAACCGTAGCATTTACTTGTAGTTTGCTCCACCAAGCCACCAAATGTTGGAACAACATCCCACCCCCACTTAGACTTTTGTGTAAGGGATCTTTCATGAAGAAACTGAAGGAAGAGTATCTACAGAGGCAAAAATTAGGCCTAGTAAATGTTTATTAAGAATTTTTATTTCGTATAGCGACCAAACGGCGACTAGGGTACAGCTGAAAATCAATGTCTGTTTCATATATGGAACATCCAACACTGAGCTGTATACCTCTTGAGCTACTACTTCACACTCTAGTTCGGTGATATAAATCTAACTAAGTATTTTACAACAACTTATAATGTAGTGATAGTAGTGGTTCAATAAAGCATTTATCTATCTATCTATCTATGTATAGATATATATATTTATTAGTACTCGCTCTCTCCTTGTTGTTTATTTATTTATATCTTCCAACGTGGGTTGTTTGGAACAGATTGCTTCATTGTAATGTGCATAAAAGAATATATATTATTATTTATCACTCATCAAATTCAATTGGCTCGATGGCGTAGTGTATAAGCGCCGCGGCCCGCGATCTTTGTTATTAAGTAACTTTCGCAAGGGTTGATCGCGGGATGGGTGACCGAAAAGTGTTATCTCGAGCTACTCCGTGCTTCGGAAGGCACTTAAGCCGTTGGCCCCGGCTGCATTTGAAGTCGTTAATACCCTCTAATCCGCGTTGGGTCAGCGTGGAGGGTCATGGCCCATGCTCCTTAACCATCCATAAGGAAGGTCTGAGCCCCTACAGTGGGGACGTAAAAGGGCTGATGATGATGATGATTATTTATATATTAAGATTATCAACCCTATAAAAAGTGATACATAAGTGCCATTGTAATAATAGTAGTAGGTAATAAGTCCGTAATGTAGTGATTTTAATAAAAAACTAAAGGTTTTGTATGGTACCAACACGCCTATTACTTTTCTACCCTTGGTAATAGAATTACGAATCCCGGTATTAGCTGTAAACACTTTAAGCATGCCTCGGTAATAGCTTCATCCGGATTTTTATGTTTATTCTTTTTTTCTTTACGTATTTCCTCAAAAACTATCTACATATTCATAGATTCCAAAAGTTCAAACCTACGTAACAGAAAGTATATATACTAGCAACTGTTTTTACGATCGGAAATTCCCATTTCGAAGGTTTAAACGTAAAAAACTTGATTTTACCTCGGTAATACCTGCATTTACCTTAGATACTGGTCTGAAAATATTGTAGATACTTTCTAATACCGCGGACACGAACTCAAGGTCAAAGAGCAAAAGTATTTTTTTTAAGGTTCAAATAATAGGACTGATAACTAGGTAAAAAAAAACTATTTAGTCCGGCAATCAGATGGGAGAAAAATATTATATATAATTTTTTTGTTTCAAGTGAACAAGGAACGGCTTAGATAATAGGCATTAAATTTGGGGGCTCGCTACGTCACAAATATGTAGAAAATGTATTTCAACTCAATTTCACGCCAAAATTTATTTATTACGAAGAAAATAAAAAAAAAAACGTATTTTATATTCTTCATTAATCTAACTGATGGACCAACAAACAAAAAATAGTCTGTTTGCTCTGCCATGCCCATGCATTAGGAGCCTAAATACGAGCGCCTTGGGCAATTGCCTAGTTGGCCTGTTTTATTGTCCATTAACACGGAAACCGGTTAATATCGATAACTAAACTTAACCGGTTAATTATTTTAGTTGATTCGTTAATAATCAAATTCTAAAAAAGTTTTGTTTTCAAGCTGTAGCTTTAAAAAATTTTGATGTATGCATGAAAATAAAACAAAAGATTTTAAATTAACATTTTCAGTATTTTTTTTTCATTTTTCAATGCTTCTTCTTAAAATAATATATCAAGTTCACATCCGGGATAGCCATAAGTCGTTAGAATCTGAAAACAAAGAAAAGTTTAATTATCGTATAATTTATTTCATAAAAACTAATTTAATAATGATCAAATCAGATAATAATAACAATGCTTCCCGAAATCAAACTAGATGTCGATACGGTACTTTCTTGATTTCTCCATGACAGCCCTCCGGTTTTCTTTCATGTATAAAAGTAAATTAGTTTTCAAAACTCAATAAACAACTCATATTATATTTGTACTTTTCCGTTTTTGTATATTCTATTCAATTTTATCACTTGCATTACATTTTGCCAAACTCTAATTCTAGATTAAAATAAGCTTACTTATTTTTCTACGTCCGCGATGTTGCAGTTTTTAAGCTCTTTCGTCCCTCAGCAGGTGCTTCAGGTGCTTCAGCTGTTAAAAATAAAAGTACAGCACATAGCAAATCTTTTTTAAAATTCCAATAGGACGTGTCACTTATACTTTCTATCGCCAGCTTACAGCAAACCTCATTAACAGAGTAATAAGCAAAAGTAATAATAAGCATACCAGGATATTATTTTTCAATTTATAATGGCTTTGAATATCCGGAGTGCTCTTAAGCAAAGAAAATGCCTCTTTAGCATTGAGTCCACCATTTGTCTATTTTACTAGGCAATTAAGATTAAATAAATAATTAGAAATAATGTAATAATTGTGTCCAATAATACCTCGTTTCTGATGATGTAAGAAGAAAGGGAATCATTCCAAAGGACAAAATGCTCGTAAAAGTTTCTTTACTACATGTCATATTGCGACGATGACAGAATGCAAGATTAAAAATTATAATGAGGCTTTAGTTTCATCGAAATCAGTTTAGAATTCAAGTGTGAGGGTATTCAGACAGAGTCATATTATTATATTTGATCAATATCATTCACAATATTATCTTGACTATTATATTGGCGAGGGAGTAAGAGCTTGTTGGCGCAGTATTTAGTATGTTTGGTCTGTGATGCGGGATTCGGCGATTCCTTGCTGAATCTCAGATCCTTCCATCCACCGAGGGTATTCCCGGGAGGATTGTACGAGGTAGGCCAACCATGATTAAACTTGTCCTTTTCTAGACAGGGTGTTTAAAGCCCTGGTTTTTGGTTTTATGTGTATTTCCCCTACTTTTAAAAAAGTTAAGAAACTTTAGCAAAGATCAGTCAAACAATGGGTTATTGGAAATTTACTATCTCTAGATTTTGAGAGGAACTCTTTGAAGGCGTTGGTCCTAGCTGATGTGAACCATCTGTAAAGGCCTGTGCTCCAGCATTAGAGACATTAATAGAGTAATGATTAAGGAAGTAATTATTACTGGTCGCTTCTCCTTCGCCAGCGTCTCCAGCCGTGGCACCCTCAGCTGCTTCTGTGGTGGCATCACCCGCTGCATCACCAGCCGTACTCTCTTCTACTGCACCGACCGTCGTCTCAGCTTCAGATTTCTCCTCGGCTTTTTCGTGTGGATTCCTATTAAAAAACGAGCTCCGTTATTTGTTTTGCATATTTGAACCAGTTTGCTAATAAATAATGGGTTCCTGAAATCTTGGTGTTAATTAATAATAATAATAATGTATTTTATTCAATAATTGTTACATTAGATTGTTTTGAGACCACCCCAATAAGTAAATTGAAGTTACTCGTGTTGGGGGTGCCTCGCTCATCCTATCATGCATTAATCTAAAAACATTAAAGTTAACATAGATTCTTTCTTTCTCTTTCTATCTTTCCCAGCTCTTTTCTTGTATGTATGCAGGTGTATGTATGAGAGTATGTATGTATGGATGTGTGTGAATTTTGTGTGCACATGAACATTTGTAACATAATTAGTGTTTCTGTGTTGTTATGTGTATTTGTATGGGTATGTATGGAAATAAATTAACAATTATATTTACATAAAAGTGTTTCAGTTTCATCATAGTTGAGAGTCTTTAACCATTTTACTATGGAATCTTTACAAGTAGAAGAATTCATTTGGAAAATATTTAATTTTGTATTTAATCTATTGTAAATTTTAGTTGACTGACAAATGAACTGACGCTCAGCAAATGCTGTTCGCATCTGACGTGGTTTTATAGCTACCTCTTTTCGTCTTTTACTTGTATTTACTACTTTGTAAGGTAATGTTTTGTGTACACATAATATTGTATTCGTTATATATAATTGTCTGACTGTCAAAAGACCACAAAGTTTATATAGACTAGTTGTAGGGTATCTATACGGTTTTGAGTACATGACTTTTAGGAGTGATCTTTGTGCTCTCTCTATGTCTATAAATTTAGTTTTAGTTGTACCACCCCATATAGTAATACAGTAAGTAATCACTGACTGGGCTAAGGCTACATAGACGGTGTTCAGTATCACCGCGGGCATCAAATTCCTTAACATTTTAAAAATCCAAATTAGTTTCCTAATTCTGGTGACGGTTTGATCGATGTGGTAATGCCAACATAGCCTTTGGTCTATCCAAACGCCGAGGTACTTTATGAAATTGACTTTTTTTAGCACGGAACAGTCGCAGTTGCTACTATTAGAATCGTCACATCTATGTATCCTCAGATGGCAGGTATTTATATCTGGCTGTGTTCTTTGGTTCGGTGTAAAGCATATATAGTTGGTTTTTGCAGTGTTGAGAGTAAGAAGGTTAGTGTCAAACCATCTCGCCATTTTTGCCAGTCCCAGTTCAGCGTTTTTCTTTACTTCGACCCAGGATGCTCCAGAGAAAACAACAGCAGTGTCATCCGCATATGAGAAAGTATCACCATTTTGATGTCTCATATTACACAAGTTGTTTATGTAGATAAGGAACAATGTTGGTCCGAGAACGCTTCCCTGAGGAACTCCAGTTACAACATGTTCTTCGTCACTGACATAACTCTCTATTCTAACCTTTTGTCTTCTTTCCTGAAGATAACTTGTAAACAGAGAAAGTGGTGTGCCCCTTATTCCAATTCTTTCTAGTTCGTGCACAAGTATATGGATAGAAACGGTGTCAAATGCCTTTTTTAAGTCTAGGAATACCGCCACGCACTTATTGCCGCTGTCCACAGTGTTCACTATTAAGTTAGTTAGGTCTTTTATAGCATCCTGTGTTGATAAATTCTTCCTAAACCCATACTGACTATTAGATATAATATTATTTTTTTGCAGATATCTTGTGAGTCTTAAATTTAATAATTTTTCAATGATCTTCGATATTCCAGACAGTACCGATATTGGCCTATAGTTATTGACGATGCCCCTATCTCCATCCTTGTGCACAGGGGTTATAATCGATAGTTTAAGAGACTTCGGAAATACTCCAGTTTTAAAACAGAGATTTGCAAGTTGGGTTATTAAGGGTACCACATAATCCCTAGCATGTTTCAGAAACTTTGTAGGGATACCGTCCCACCCTGTTGCGCTATTAGAGTCAAGATTCATGAGTACACTGTTTACTTCTTGTGGATCTGTATCTAGAAGCACAAATGATGAGGTTGAAAAAGACAAGCTTGTTGCAACAGTAGAGATTATCTTTTTGGGAGTGGTAATTTCATCTGCTAAGATCTTGCCAATATTTGCAAAAAACTGATTCACTCTGTTGACCGAGTCGATAGGGTTAGATGTTATTTTTAAAAGATCCCTGCTAGTATTTTTGGGGGGTTTGAACTGAGTAATGTCAGTGATGGCTGACCATAATTTCTGTGTATTTCTCTTAGCTTCCATTACTTTATCCCTATTATATTGTCTTTTAAGTCTTCTAATTAAGTTAGTGCAATAATTACGGAAACGTTTATAGGTTATTTTTAATATTTCGTTGTGTGGTTCTAATTTCATCTTATGATTCATGCTATTTCTTAGCCTAATGCATTTTAGAGCTCCCTTTGTTATCCATGGTTTTAATATTTTCTTTCCACTAGGAATTATTTTTAATGTTGTATTAGATGTAATAGCTGTCCTGATCCTGTCGATTAGAATGTTTGCAAAGTTATCAGGTTCGTAAACTAAATCAAAATACGAATGGTCGATTTGCATAAGAGATTTATATGCTTCCTTATAATTAGTTACGTTTTTGTACTTGGGTTTTGGGTCATTAGAAACTTTATTTCCGATGCTCAGAATATCAAGTATTACCATTGCATGATCAGTGATTGTACAGTTTAGCACCGTAATAAATGCAGAGCAATATTTTACATTCAGTTTCATCATCACGTGATCAAGACAGCTATCATCTCTAGTTGGTAGACAATGCCCGGGAAGAACACTGTGCATAGATAGCATGTCTAAATACGATAACCTATTTTTTCGGTCAGTGGATTTTTCGTTCGGTTTTTGAATTAAGTTAATATTGATGTCCCCTATAATTATGATGTTTTGGTGATTAGATATAGTTTCTAGATGAGAATTAAGTGAGTTTATGAAATTTTCAGCATTAATGTTTGATGGAGAGCGGTAAATTCCTAATATTATGTGTGTAGGTGTAACAATTTGAAGCCCGGAGGCTTGTGATAAATTTATTTCTGTCACAATAACATCTATGGTTGTCATGACATAAGCCACAACACCATCATTTTGGTTATAAAGATTTTTAGTGTAGTGTCCCGTATAATTGCCTATAATTGGAATTTTTTTATTAGCATTCAGCCTGCATTCTGTCAAGATAAGTATATCAATTTTATAGGGTAGCTGTGTTAAGTTAACTTGCAAGTCATCCATGTTCTTATATATACTTCTTATGTTCTGTGTTATTATAGTTAAATTGTTTTCTTTTTCTCTGTGTATATATTTAAATAGGTCCTCTAAGTTGCAAGATGTGCTTTTTGCTATTTCAATGTTATCTATTTCGTGCATAATATTAGAGTTTAAATCCATGATTTTAGTCTAATTTTGTTCATATGGTCAAAACAGAAGGTTATTAAATAATTATTTAAACTAATATAAGAATACAAAATATGTACACACAGAAAAACATTTATATTGTCAGTTTTTTGTATTTTGTATGTAATTTTGTGTTTATTGTAATTGGTGGTTGTGTAAGTGAATGTAGTTTGAGCTTGATTACATTTGGTTAGCAACTTATGTACTTTTTTTATGGCAAAAAAAATAAAAAGTAAATTATTAATTATACACTTAAATGTTAGGAATAACAAAATCATGCAAAATTTAATTATTTTATATAGTCATGGCTTTTGTAGTAGTTGATGAACTTGAGGTTCAGTTGTAACTTGTATAATGCGAGAGCTTTCATCTTGTCTAACAAATACCTTACCAAAAGAGGTCCAGCAATATTTATAGTTTTTCATCTTCACTAAGTCTCGTGCTAGGAAAAATAATCGCGCAGCTTTTGAAGTTAATTGCTCAGTTATATAAATTGGGTTATGTTCATTTATAGTGAATCCGAGATGCATTGCTTGTAATTTGGATTTGTTTTTTGAATTAAACAATTTTATCTTCTTGAGTAGATCAATCTTCAAAAGGGTGGATCCGAGCTCCAAAATTATAGGCGGGTTGTTTACCCCTCTTTCTTTTCTTTCTGATAATCTAAAAATATCTTTGATATCTCTAACATCCATTACGAGATCAACACTTTTTGCAAGGCACATCACCATTTTTAATAAATCCTCTCTCGATTCCTGTTTGTTCTTAGGAGCATTTTTTATTTCAATGGAGGTCTTTCGGCTCAATGGAGGTTTCGAATTGAAACGAAGAAATTTCTTGTACATTAACATAGAAGAAGTTTTCTTTGTGGTGCACGCCTAGCTTTATCTCAACTTTCTTCGACCGATTTTTAACCGTATCTATATTGCATTATGATTTAATATCGTGTGGAGATAGTTGAAAAATTTGTATATCATGACGTGCTGTTGACTTCTACAATTAACTGTTCAGTCAACCATAAGGTTCTAAATCTTCGTCAGAAACGTCAAACACCAGTTTCATTATATACAGGGATATTTCTAAAACACTAATAAACCCGCAGAATTAAATAACCAACACCATATAAAATTCAAAATCTTAAATCTTTGTTTATTAAAAATTATAACTTCGTATTATTTAATTTATTTTACATATAAGCGTCTGTTATTAAACTTGTAGATCAGTGCTGTTGTTTTTAATATTAGTTACTTAAATATTTCTGTAAGGTTGCTGGTGTTTTACAAATAACCCTGTATATCTCTTTAAAGGAGTTTTAAAAACTTTTTTGGTTGTTACCTTATCTCTAGGATGGTTTTCGTTATTTGTTCTCCTTTACTGTCGAATACAGCTTGGTAGACCCCTTCGTAATCAGCACTGAATTCACTCACACGAATAGTAATGGATGTTGGTGTTGCCTTAAAAAATATTTAAAGCAAGTTTTATATGAAAGAATACTTAAGCTTAAGCCTTCGAATATTAATAACATAAATTAATTCATCCGATAATATTTCCACATGTCTAAATTAACAGAGCATTCTTCTGTTTACTAATGCTGACAATAGCATCAATTCTGTTGCACAAAATAGACTCAAATCAAATTTGACCATGTTCAATTATATATAACGGTAGTAAACTTATCATAATAAAGTATGCAAGAGTTTAACATACTTTTTTGATTACATGTGACAAATAATATAAAAACAAGCCAATGCTTTTTTTAAATTTACTTTAAAGACAACAGATTCAGCACCATTATGTTCTTGGTTCATTTTCTCTATAGGCTTCATCCCTAAGTCTGCTTCATCCGTAAATTCTATTTAACGATTGTATCTGGACTACATTTATTTCAGTTATTTCAAAACCTCAATCATAGCCATTTGTAAGTTTACGGCGAAAGATCTTGTACTGACAAGTGCCGGCATGAAACTCGGCACGTTCAGCACACGATAAACGCTTTGCCTACACCAAGTCACTTTTTTATGGTCGAGAGTGAGATAACATATGTATACACACCCGAGTAATGGCATTTGGGTGTAGACAAAATGATTTCGGGATTGTCATGCTACGTGTGCTGCTGTTTTGTCCAGGCAGAAGAGTTATATTGAAAAATGTAATGTAATTTCTTACGAGCTTTGCTTACCTGTTCTAGTTTTGCTTGAATGTATGATATTATATTTATGATTATTGAAACCTACCATGTAATAAGCGATCGGTCCTGATCCAGTTCTTCTCGAAGTGTCAGAATCCATCAACACCCCATTTATGTAGACCTTTTAAAATATCATTAAATCAATTCAAAATTATATAAGAAAAACAACTTCTCGCCCGAATTAATAAAGAGTGTTAGTATTATTAAAGACTTGGCTTTGCTTTGTTAGAAACTTTACCTCTTTGAATTATTATAGATGATAAAATTGATGCTGTTTTACCACTAACCCTGTACACAATTTCAAGCTGCATCGGTTGTTTGGTGGTACCCCATCCCGGAGGGAGACAATTCTAAAGCTATATATATCTTATTGGATAATAGCTATTTTGAGGTTATTGCCATTCGTGAGATCGCAAAACTTGGATGGAAAAACATCGTAATCTGGAGTCATACTCTGCTTCATTATTGTGTACGAGCGAAGGTGGTCGTGGTCGTATTAGTAAAAGTAACTGCAAAGCCAGTAGTCCAATTCTTCTAATATTTAAGTTATAATCGAATCTCAATAGAATGTCAACTATTTGCCTTTTACCATAGCACTATCTAACTGAAGTACAATATTATTAGTGCAATGTCTTTATCACACATCAACGGTGACAGATATATAATAATTGTAAAGGACACCGAGCCACGCCGCGACAACTGCGCCACCAACAGAGAAACAAAGAAACCTTCCCCTCCCCGCGCGGTGCGGGGTAGCGTACCCCCATTCTAAGGAGTCTTATAAGACTAACTGATTTATGTATGTGCTAAGTGCGATCAATCAAATTGTATATAAGAAATCGATTTTGTGCAATAATACATGTTCTGTCTTCGAACGTTCTCTGAGTTTCTCCAAACCAAGTGTTTTACTCGAAACCCCTGCTACCTGCCCGCCTTCATATCCAGCTACAGTCTATTTGCTACAATAATATTGGACTTGAAATAGATAGTACAATGTCAAAATGTTAGTAATTAAGATTCTATTGAGATACTATTATTACGTAAACATTAGCATAATAGGTCTACAGGCTTTGCAGTTACTTTTACCAATACGACCGCGACCATGCAATAATGAAGCAGAGAGCATCTCAAGAGTATGTATAAGCTCAAAGATAGGTGCGTTCAGGCTGCGTGCTTGGGAAGGCACGATAGCTATAAGTCTCGACTGATTCTGCAGTTGTTAATTACCACGAATCCGCACAGTCCTCCTTTAATTACATAAGCAGGGAAGGTCTGTGCCCCAGCAATGGAAACATTAATATGCTTGCCGATTATGTATCGACTTAAATTTATACTAGATATGTAGTGATTTACTTTCTCTACGCTGCATTCATCACAGCTCACTGGTATTTCTACTTCTAGTTGTTCGCCAATAGCAGGGGAGGTCATAGGTTCAGGAGGCGTCACCGTTACGGCTGAAATCAAATATCATATCTTTGTTTGCCCTTTTTCTCTTTCTACCCATGACTCCAGCCGATGCTCTGGTGATATTTCGTTAAATTTTACTACACTGACATGTACTTTAATAACGCCGGAAGAATTATGTATATATTATCCTATCAAAAAAGACATTTCGAAGTAGAAAAATTACACAAAATATCACCATTGCTTAGTGTAGCTAGCGGTCCAAATCAAATATCATATCTTTGTTTGCCCTTTTTCTCTTTCTACCCATGACTCTAGCCGATGCTCTGGTGATATTTCGTTAAATTTTACTACACTGACATGTACTTTAATAACGCCGGAAGAATTATGAATATATATTATCCTATCAAAAAAGACATTTCGAAGTAGAAAAATTAAACAAAATATCACTATTGCTTAGTGTAGCTAGAGAGCTACACGGTCCAACTCCAGAGCGGTTAAGCGGATAAGAGCGGCGGATAGTACACTAAGCGACCTCTTTTAGCGATATCGAGTATTTGGAATTATTTACTGCAATATTAGATATTTGGAATCAGTTTGACGCACAACTTAATTACCTTTTCAAAAAAAGGAGTAATGACTAAACATTAATTTAAGAGATTCATTGATATATCGACGGTTGTAAATGAGACTAATTGAACTAAGTAACATTGTTTTCTACGTCAATTTAATATGTTAGAAATCAGCAACATTTGTCTATATATTTATTAAACCTTACCTTCTCACATGATAATAATTTGATTACTTAAAACTTATATTTTTATAGAATAAAATAGGTACATTAATGTCTCTTTTATTCTAAATACCGGTAAAAACCGGTTAATAATTACCCTCAAAAAATATACTCACATGGCGCTAAAGAATAAAGAATATTGTTAAATTATAATTAATTCAATTTTATTAATCAAGTATGGAGCTAATCAAGTATGGAGCATAATATAAAAAAATGTTTTTTATTATATTTTAAATAAAATATATACTTACACGAGTCTGAAAAACGTGTCACATTTATGAGATTTGAATCAATAAATCAATAAAATAAAACATTTAACATTTTTACATCGTTTTTCTGTTTTTCTGATGTCACTGGTTCGATTCCCGGTCGGGCAAACGTGGCAAATTAACTTTTCTATGATATCTCGAGTCTAGGTATTGTGGTACCTTTAGCTACTTAATTTGGGATCCGAACAATGTTTATGATTTTAGAGTAAGATACAGCTAATATAGAGATAAGGTACGCGTAAAATGTTGACCAATCAGAATGATTCAAATATCACGCCATTAAACGATCCACCAATATCCATACGTTGACCGCCACTAAGTGTGAGTGAGATAACACATAATGCGTTATATTTTACACCTTATGGTTATTGAAACAAGATTCAGTGTAAATTTTAATCGTGATTTTGGTCATTGTCGGTATTGATATGTCTAGAGAGGAATCATTGTGGGCCATATTGGTCGGTATTGAAACTTACTGTACATATAAAATTGTATTGAAATGAAATGAAAATATTTCTATTCAAGTAAGCACTTTTGAATCGTCTAAGTTTTTTTCCCCTACCACTTGTTCAGGACGTCTTTTAGTTGACAAGAAAAACAAGCGAAAGAAATTTACCAGTTCTTTAGATTTAGAAATTTACCAACATAGCAATGCATTTAACCACATTTTTTTAAAGCTGAGTCTTTTAAATAGTCTGTAATTTTTGACTATTTAAAAGGCTCGGGAAAAAAAGGCTTTGAAACGACTTCATGGGGAGAGAACAAATATTTGTACTGTAATGTTGCAAATCTGACTATGTAACGATTACTCATCGTTACATAGTCAGATTCGATATGGCTTTGCGATTACTCACTTTCAATAACTGCTATAATTCTCTTGTAAAGTTTATCCTGTCGCTTGAATACAGCCAAGTACACACAGGCATTGTTGTCTTCAAAGCTATGATTATATAAAAATAAGATACTTAAAGTTATACATATAAATCAAGTGGCAAATAAGGGCTGCTGATCTGCTATTTAGGCCTCGCAGACTCCTGTCTCTTAGAAAGATAATTTTGGTAATTAAAATTCTGTTATCACATCAACCTAATATCTATATGATGAGAAATATATATGTATATATATTATATTACTAGCCTTCACTAGCGTGATCTAGTTTTAAGTGAAATGATAAAATTCCATAAAAACTTTTATCTCCTAATTTATAATCTTAGGGTTCGAATTTCCAAAAATTCCGTCTTTAGTGAGCACAACGATCGTACGCTTTTGGAATCACGCGATTTCTTTTGAATAACTGCTCGTGTCATATACCGATATCGTTGCCGTTCGAGCTGACGATATTCGAGTATCGTGTGGTGTCATTATCATCGTAGCATGATAACATCATTACCTGGGGAAACTGAAGCTGATCATAGAAGATGCCTTTACAACACTGACTCTGCCAGAAGCTGTGACGCTCTGTCCGTTACACAGAACGTCTGTTATATCACAGTCGGAGCAGTCGAACTTTAATCTCTCATCCATGTGGTCTCCTACTTTGAATATTGTTGTCATTCTTGATACATGAAGGACTGTGAAGAGAATAAGCTTCCATATAAGTTTAGAAAGATAGTGAAGCAATAGGTATATTAACGCATGGGTGAAAAAAATAAATTATATTTAGTCCGCCTGTCGGATAGTAGAAAAATATTAGATACGTATTTTTTTGCTGCAGTTTAACAAGGAATGGCTTAGATAATAAGCATTAAATTTGATTCATTGAATTGGGGGCTCGCTACGTCACAATGAGGAAGTATTTAAAAAAAACGAAAGCACTAAAAAAGCACCTGCACTAGATGGCGACTCTAGCAAAAGTTGATTTTTGCAGGAAACGAATGGACCAAAGACGGTCATTTCCGTTCCTTTTAACTAACATCTTAAAAAACTAAAATTTGAAAAGTTCGAAACTTAGATATCAATACAAATACGCAAAAGTACAAATAGAATACGAGTTGTTTATTGAGTTTTGAAAACTAATTTACTTTTAAACATGAAAGAAAACCGGAAGGGTTGTGAGAGACATCAAGAAAGTACCGTAGCGACAACGACATTGATTTCATACAGTAAAATACAGCTATACTACCATCATAAGATAATAAAGAGGAGCTCCATGATGCAGTGGTAAGCGCGTTCGGTTTACGTGCTGAAGTTAAGCAACTTTCGTAATATCTAGTCATAGGAAGGGTGACTAAAAAAATATTATCCTGAGCTAAGGCAAGTTAAGCTGTTGATCTCGGCTGCATCTGCAGTCTTTAACACCCACTAATCCGCTTTGGGCCTGCGTGGTGGGTCATAAATGCATGGCCCATTCTTCCTATTTGATTTCGATTCCAACGATAGAGAGAGAAGCCCTGACCGAGCATCAGCAGTACGGCATTGGGGCTAGTAATGGGATATGATGTGTGCTAAATACTTACGGTTTTCTGAAACGATTCACCAGTTAAATAAATTATCAATTTTAATATTCTGTTAGTTCAATAGTAAATTGATATAAAAAAGCGAAAGTATATGTAATAGATGGCTTCTAATCGTCTGTCTTTGTAGAAATGCGGTCTCGACAATATTCCGGAAAACATGGCGTTGTAATTTTATCGCTCGCACTTGATTCGAAGTAATATTTATTTCTTATAATATAATTTTCATCTGCAAAACTAATTCAGGCCCGTATCTAGGGCACTTGCCCCAGGCGCCAGTGTATATGTTTCAAAATCTCTAAATGAAATAAAATAAAAAAATCAAACACTGTAAAAATATTATAATATATAAAATCCGGCTTCACGGACCTTAGGAAAACAGGGTTAAAGGAAGAGCGCCATACAGTTTCTGCCCCGGCTAAAAAAGTTTTAGATACGGGCTTGAACTAATTAATAGCTAATTTCTAAGTAGTTGTAAATAACACTAACACTAAATTTTAAGATTTTTTTGTGTAAAACTAACTAAAAAATGGATTATCTTAAAGAAATATATTATTATAATTATTGGTAAACAGTAGAGAGCATTTTTTTTTGCCGCTAAATACATATACAAAATAAATAAGAACTATGAAAAGTTTTGTTTAAAAGACTTGACTGATAAGTTCGGCATTATTTATTTCTTGATGGGAAGCATACGTAGCTTAAATAAAACAGTGAATAAAAGCTGATAATTAATCAAACATTAAAAACCGGTAATATCCGTCATAATAATATTACCGGTTATTTTTTAAAGATTAAATATCAAGTCGATATTTAATACCATACATACCGGAATCTGAAATAGTAAATTATCTATAAATTATGATTATTATTACTCAAGACTTTTAAAATTATTTTGAGCTTTCAAAAATTAATCGGTGCAAATCATGAGTTCTATTGTAAGTATATTCAGCGTAACTATTAACCTATATTTAGGCTTTTAATTTTTATGGTATTGAAAAAAATATATAAACTAATAATGTTTTATATAAGCATAGGCCACCTCCATAATAATTAACTTGGGACTCTAGTAGACCCGTTTGAAGTGAATGGTGTAAAAAAATATTAAAATAAAATCAATCTTAAAGTATCTAAATATTTATGTATTAGTAATTCTAAAAAAATACGTCAGGTACTAGACGTATTAAATTTTTCGGTGTAGAGCGGTCCTTCAACGCGACGTATTTTTTTTTTTTTAATTATAAATTCATATTTAGTTACTTTTAGATCGAGCTTCTTTTATTATTTTTGCTTTTTAAAAAAAAACTTAGTTTGAGTGGGGATTTTTAAATTTATTAATCAATTTAAATGTAAATTCTCGTTGAAAATTTTCAAATTTATATTTAAGGTCAGGCTTGTTCCTCTTTCATTTTACTTATTAATTACTAGTTCTTGTTTTTATAACTAATAATAGTTACTTAATGTTTATATTAGTCTTCAACTCTTTAATATAATAATTTTCTCATCAACCGAAACTAGGAACACTCTCAATTAAGTCATCAATACTCTCTTTCAGTGTTCTTTCATTTGAGTCCCCACTCGAGTATATTTGCAGACATTCGGTTATTCTTCCCCACTTCAGCCCCCACAACTTTTAAACGGCTCAACCGATTTTCATCAAACATATCTTAGAACACTAGCACATAAGTCACCTTTAATACAAAAAAAAATGGAATCGCTTCATCCATTCGGGAGTTATGATGGCAGAGACAGACACACACACACAAACACGTTCATTGTACATCCATTGTATGGATGGATAGAATACCTTACTAAATTTTAAGATTATAATGTTTTTAATTATATATATACTAGACCTGGTTTAGGTGCTGTAAAAAAAATAACATTTAATTTTGATTATAATTATTTAAATTTAATTATAAAATTATTATTTATTTAAAAAGCTGGTTTTAAGTACTGGTTTTACGTATTACGACGTAGACCAGATGAGAAAATTACGGAGAACTGAAAATTCATTTTTTCACCACCAAATGACACCAAACAATGTTTGGATTCAAGTTATTTTCAACTAAATATTCATTGCGTTGATAATTGGACACTTTCTTTTTGTAGATATGTATGTTTTAGGCAAAGGTATTTATAAAATGTAAGAAACAATCTTTTAATAAAGTATTTTATCAGAAAAAGTATTTAATACGTTCACTTCGGCTTGAGGTCGTTTCAGCCTCATGGTATACTTTGGGCTGGTGCGGCGAATATAACTTGACCTCAACCACACCAGCTGAAAGTTCTTCAAAATTGGCCTCGCGATGAACGTGTTAAAAGATACTAAGATACTAAACTAAAGTATTTAATAAAAGATACAAAATTCTTCCTAAAAAAAGCATTTAGATACAAGATGAAAATACGTATTTTGTATCTGTATTTCAAATACTTGTATCTAAGATAAGTCACATCTCTGATAATACGTTACTTTTTATCCCACTAAATGTATATGTTCCTTTGCTAACTATTATCAGTTCCCATGGTAACTCAAGTAGATAATATTGAAAAAATTAATTACAATCCACTTTGATGATCTGAATGTTCTCCTCGGGATTCTCTTCTGTACGGAACACAGCTATGTAATATCCAACATCCTTCGACCCTACAATGCCTAGGTCCATTATAATGGAACTTTGCCTGGAAAAAAAATGTTTTTTTTTCTTATAATATCCTAATTGTCATATCTAATCAAGTCGGAAATAATCTAGTCGAGTGACACGTTTTGAAGTAAAATGGGCGTTTTCTATGAATCAATAAAAAACGAGCGAAAACTCACGTTTATTGTATAGAAGATATGACATATAATTTGAATTTAATTATTTATTTTTAAAGTCACCATATAAACAAATATTCGGAAAATATTTCAAGCTTCTACCTGGTGTAATTATCAATATCGAGGAAAAGCAAGCAAAAAGTCACGTTTGTTATATGGGAGCCGCCTTCAATATGTATTTCATCCAGATTTTTAGTATTTGCTGTTGAAGCGGCCACTGAAATACATCATCTGTGTAAATTTCAACTGTCTTGCTTTCACGATTCATGAGATGCAGTTTGGTGACAGACAGAGAGACAGCAAGTCTTAGTAATAGGGTGCCCGTTTTACCCTTTAGGTCTGGAACCCTATAGAGGAGGGTAGGAAGATACTATAGATAGATATAGAACCTTCTTTAGCCTGCATGACGGCAGATTCTATCATCATTTATAGGTCAAGGTGTACACACTACTATAACTTTTAAGAAATTCCTAAGGAAATTTGAAATTTACCATTACCTCATGTTTTAAACCCATATTAAAAATTGTCTACTCAGTAAAGGATATTATACTGTTAATGGATGTTTAAATATATGGCTCATTTTTCATATATATTAAATTGTTTATCGGTGAGCTTCTTTGGCTACAAATGTGATTGGATTGACGAAAATACTGTTTTACTCCTAATATTGTGTAACATTGTAATGGAAAGTGACTTCAAATTTTTTTGAAGTCATTTTTCAATCTTGACGCTCTGTATGAAATAAAACAGGGAGAAAAAAGCAGCCCTTGCCGAGTTTCTTGCCGGTTCTTCTCGGTACAAGGTCTCCCGCCGTAGATTTACGAACCGATGGCGTAGCTCTCGACTTTCACAAGTGCTTGTAACAGCCTAGACTGAATAAATAATTTTGATTTGAATTGATTTGATTTGATTTGACTGACCCGTCTACCTCCGTGACCTGGTAGCGGCTATTCTCCAGATTATACACGTTGTAATCTGCAGCGCGAACCATGATCCTGAGCAGCTCGCATTTGTTGCATCTGTAGGTGACTGTCATTGATTCCGCACGCTGACCAGCCGTCATATCCAACTCCTTCACATCGGGCGTTTGAACTGTCGCTTTCTCTATAAAAGATAAGATAAGACAGGATAAGATTTATTTCATATTAAAATTATCTACGTACAAATCAGGTCCGGTTTTAACCGGGCAGAAAATATGTATGTTTTTTGTTTGTTTTTGTAATCCATTGTAGACAATTTTCTCTATCAAATAAAACCATATTTAATAGTTGTTTGAAGATGATTCTCTTTTAATAACAAGTCCTAATATATAAAAAGAGTTTGTATAGTATTTTATAATGAGGAAAGATTAAAAAAAACATTAGTTCCCGAAATCAAACTAGATGTCACTACGGTACGTTTTTGATTTCTCCATGACAACCCTTCCGGTTTTTTTTTTTCATGTTTAACCCTTCAGCACGCGATCGGCCGAATTCGGCCGGTCACGTGACTATTGCGCCATTCCGTGAAACCCCGCTAGTTCTTCTTATTTTCAGGCAGTTAAAGTCTACTTTAGCGATGACGCATGTGCTTGCATTCGTTTTTTAAATGTGTGGTGTCAGGTTTGAAGGGTTAAAAGTAAATTAGTTTTCAAAACTCAATAAAAACTCATATTCTATTTGTACTTTTTCGTATTTATATTGATATTTAAGTTTCGATCTTTCCAAATTTCAGTTTTTTTAATATGTTAGGTAAAAGAAACTGAAATGACTGTCTTTGGTCCATTCGTTTCCTGCAAAAAATCAACTTTTGCTAGTGGAGGTGCTTTTTTTAGTGCTTTCGTTTTTTTTAAATACTTCCTCATTATCAAGACAATTACCTATCGTGATAATAATTGCTATAATTATCACTCCGAACCCTAAATTGAAAATATTTGTGAAGACCGTTCCATTTTTAACTGTTAAGTGCCGACCACTCCAGATTCGGACACGTCTATAAAACATTCAAGACGATGACCGTTACTGAATGACGTCACAACTCACAAGTGCGTCATAGGTACCGTCGACGAAGGAATATTACGTGTTTTAACAAGGGTTGCCAACTTCCAAAATAAAAAAAAAACTGTGTGTTAGGCTCGAAACTGCCTTAAAATTATTATCCCCTATTTAAACATAGAGGAGGTACCCTAAAAAAAATCTATAGTTCTAGAGCTGCACCGTGAACGGCCGGACAAACTAACATGGTGAAACTATAAGGGTTTTTTGTTTACCACGGAATCCTAAAACTCTGCTGCCAGTTGCAGCTATTTGTTAATCACATATTAATCAGTTAAATAACAAGAATTATTAAATAATTATTTGTGTCAAAAATTCGCTTATAAACATAGGCTAGCAAAAGCAATATAGGCCGGACTTATAATTTAGCCGGATACGACCTAAAAAACAAAACAATTCCTATTAGCTATTATCCGAACAGGCAACCGCTTAAAGAGAAATTGAAAGTTGATTCTTTACGTAATGAATATCATTCTTAACAAAAAAACAACAGTTATAACACAAATTAAAAGACCATAAAAAAAACTCTTATTTAAGTATCTTTGGGTTTGATTTTTTCAAAATTCTTAGCCAACTTTTACATCATATACTCAATTCGTCAAGTAGTATGAATTTTCTGTTGATACATTTGCCTTTCATCTGTCTGTGCCAGATCGTCAAACCTAATAGTCGGACAGACCAGCCAGTTTGGCTGGATATTTGGGTAGAAAGGTAGAAAAGAAAACTCATACTTTAACTCCACTATTCACGTCACTTCCCAACACTATTAGATCGACCAGATAGTTCCTGTCACTAGTTTTCGCTTCCGACCGCTCTCTTATTTAGTTCACAAGTCAGTCACTGAAAGAATGCTGGGACTGTCCACTGTCCACTGCATATTTATAGAGGCCGATATCACATCTAGAAAGTTTTAGGTTAGGACGTGGATCTATACCCATATGACACACGAAGTTTCGACAGTGTTAGCGCGATTCATTGACGCATAACGCCATCTATTAATGTGTAGACGAACCGCGCCGCTGCACACCGCAACAGTATTAATAAGTACGCCAAAAAAATATATGTAAAATCAAGTTTTTTTTTATTATTATTATCATAAATCTCTCGACTCGCATGCGCTCGCTAATTTGCGAAATGTAAAAACCAAACAAAAGCCGGACAAGCTGGTCCTCGTTTAGCCTACCTATGTCTGATTTTATCCGGATACCTAGCAATTACCTATATATAAGATAGAAGATTAATATAACTTTCAAATCTCTGGTTGCGAAGTTCTTTTTGTCAAATGAACAGAAATCTACTTGATATGTTGCCTTCTTATTATCTAAAGCTTCTTATGTTTGTTTATTTTATGTAACTTTATTATCATATTTATATTTCTATTAATATTATTGAATTTATTTGTAACGCGCACAGCCTACCTACATTATTGTCATCATTGCTTCTTCCAGTATAGGTTACCTGCAAGAAATCTAAGGCCGCCTATTGTGCAAAAGTTTTAATGTTTGTAAGTTACTCTTTATGTATTTCTGTTGTGTGTTGTACAATAAAGTGTTTTTATCTTATCTTATAACTCTTACCTAATGTCACGATATCCAAGCTCTTCTCCTGTCTCTTCCCGTTCGTTTCATTGATAAAAACTGCGTAATACGGACCACATTTCGACGAGGACCACATAAATTTTATATTGATCATTATAAATATACCATCAGGGCTCATTTCGAAACTGAATTGTGTAGGCTTCAACTGTAAATATAAATATATATATTTTTATTTTCTTCAATAATCTTAAATAGAGAAATCCAACGAGCCCACATTCGATAGGATTGCGTTATTATATTACAACATTCTCATTCCATCCTGATGATGCACTGGATATTATATCAGATCGAAGTACTTTTCCAGACAAATCCATACCAATAATCAACTGAATGGAAAGCAAGTAAATAACTAATACGCAAATTAAAGTAATCAGCCTCTTTCGTCCCCACTGCATAGGCTCAGGCCTTCCTTATGGGTTTAGGAGGATAAGCCCATGACCCTCCACGGTTGCCTTATGCGCATTGGAGGGTTTTTACAACCTGGACCAATGGCTTAACGTGCATTCCAAAGCACGGAGTAGCTCGAAATATTTTTTTTTATCACCAACCCCATGATTGACCCTTTTGAAATTTGCTTAACAACAACGATCGGGGACCGCTTATCCATTACGCTACCGAGCTTTACGCTAATGAGGAAGTATTTAAAAAAAATACGTAGCATTAAAAAAGCACCTGCAGTAGATGGCGACTGTAGCAAAAGTTCACTTTTGCAGGAACAGTCATTTCCGTTCTTTTTAACTAACATATCAAAAAAAAAAGTTAAGCAGTTGGCGGAATAAAAAAAATTGATTTTTTTGTCAGTGTACTGCTTAAGTGAATAAACTTTTTTATTATTAAAAAAAAAAAAAAAAACTGAATTTCGAAAAGTTCAAAACTTAGATATCAATACAAATACGAAAAAGTACAAATAAAATATGAGTTGTTTATCGAGTTTTGAAAACTAATTTACTTTTAAACTTGAAAGAAAACCGGAAAGGTTGTCATGGAGAAATCAAGAAAGTACCGTAGCGACATCTAGTTTGATTTCGGGAACTAATGTTTTTTTTTAAAAACTCCCTCATTAAAAAATACATACAACCCAGTCAAACATATAACCTCCACTTTTTCGATTTTGAAGTCTTTAATGAAAATTTGTAATAAACAGTGAAAATCATCATCATCATCATCAGCCCTTTTTACGTCCCCACTGCAGGGGCTCAGGCCTTCCTTATGGATGGCTAAGGAGGATGGGCCATGACCCTCCACGCTGGCCCAATGCGGATTGGAGGGTATTAACGACTGCAAATGCAGCCGGGACCAACGGCTTAACGTACCTTCCGAAGCACGGAGTAGCTCGAGATAATATTTTTCCGGTCACCCATCCCGTGACCGACCCTTGCGAAAGTTGCTTAACGACTACGATCACGGCCCGCGGCGCTTATCCACTACGCAACAGTGAAAATGTAAAGTATTAATGATATTAGATTTACCTTGTACCTGCTAATGTCGTCATGGTTATCATCATTACTACGTAAAATATTGGCACCGCTCCCACGGTCTATATTCACACCTGCACCAATTTCGACATCAACACCAACTGCCCCGAGAATAGTATTTTTCCTACCATTGGTGCCACCAACTGTTAGTCCTCCTACTTTAACCCCACGCCTGCGTGTGCCCTGTGACAAACATTTCAGGGAGGTCAATAACCGGTAAAATACCGGTTTTTTACGGTATAGGTAAAAACGGAATCCTACTGTTATATAAATTATTACTTCAAAATATAAATAAAGGCAATACATATATTTTTTATTGTGTTCATTTTTTTCTGTTCATTCTTGTAGGCGTTTTAATGACAAAATTAAAATATAGAAATCGGAGAGACCGGTATGCTACTAATAAAATAAAAGATAACTTTTTACGTGGAGTTACTAACCTTACCCAGTAAATTCAACTGATTAAAACCCCATGAAGATTTACCTTTCCCTTGGCCTAGTCCCAGATTCCTATTATAAGTTAGTAAGGTCATTTTTAGTTTGCGTATATATTATACCTTAGTACCTTTTGATTCTTGGTGTTGTACGGATCTTTGACCCTCCATACTCCGTCGAAAGTATACCCAGGTGGGACTTTCAGGCGACGCGGTGCCGGAGTATATAGCTTACCGGACATTGAGTGTGGTACAAATTCAAATATAGAATCCTCTGTAAAAAAAAAACACAATATAGTTTCATTTTAGTCAAAGGAGTTTCAGCCTATAGATAATACGATTCCCACCTAAAATTTAAAATTTTCTGAGTTATTTTATGGACTTTGGATCATACGTTATCCTACGTTGTAGTATTGAAATGTGTAGTTATGATGAATATTATTCTTCTTCTAAAGGAAGTAATGAAGTATATGTTGTTCACTACATTAATTAAAACCACTGCCTATTTACTGTTTTTATTCACCATAATTTTTACAAGAAAGAGGAAAAGAAAAACAAAACACTAGTTGACATTGAAAAACAAACTATTATATATAACCAAAGAGGTTTTAAACATGTAATGATAATGAAACTCTTAAGATAGATATAGGTACTCGGAATATTTAACATATGTATTGTCATAAGTAATGTTATGGACATTAATTTCCCCTCCCATGCGAACGTACTCCCTAAATTACAGCCATGTGAAGTGTAAACTTACTGATTAATTTAATTAAGTTTTATAACTTACCAGGGATAGCTGAAAATGTTATAAACATATATTAGAGAGACAAAAGATCTTTATGAATTTGTCAATAACCTTTTTGTCGTTATTATTTTTCGATTTCAGAAGTCAGTTTTTAGTTTTTACGGCAAAGGAAGTTTGAACTAATTATTAAATTTTCCAGAAAAATACCGGGAAAAATACTTATCTTTTGAAATTTATGTAGAATTCACTTAAAAATACACCTTTTAATTTCAAAAAATATTCACTGAATTCGGTTAGAAGATGACATCGATAAGAAACATAGCCACAAAAAAAAAATATTAATATTATTTTACTTACGTGGAACATATTCTAGAAAAAACATGCAAAATGGTAATTTTATAAAAATAAAATAATGTAGACATCTTCGTGGGTATGATGTAGACATCTTCGATTGCAACATTAATTCATTTAAGCGGAAACTAATAGAACACTTACTGTCTCGTTTACTTATGGCGTATGTACGATTACTTATTTGATTGTGTAGCTTGTGTGCGAATTTACTGGTTATATCTAAGCTATTTCTATATGTAGAAACCTATAATTGGCTTAATGTCTTTTATGCTGAAATCTATCATGTTTGTTTAGCTGTTGGTTTTCCAAGAATAATAAATAAAATAAAATAATACAAACAAAACACAATTCAATTAATATTATTTCACTTACCGTCGTCTGAAATATAGAATAAAATAAATATTTATTGATTACAAGTAAATTGTCTTATTCCAAACGCTTTCCATATTGTTATGGAGACATTATCCGTTGCATAATTAGTTTCATTCATCTCATATTTTTATCTTGCAACTTTTCGTAAAACCTTACGTAAAGGGATATAAATAGATTAAATGAAAAAGTTGTTTCTAAGGGCAGCCAGCATGCAGGTATTAACTTCAAAAAAATGCTAGCTGAATTGTAGGACACGTATCTGGGTACTAAATGACATTTTATTACATCCTGTGTTCTATATATGATTTGCCATATTTGGGATGAAACATGAATGACTAAACAAACTGTATTTAAGTCACCAGCAACTGGACGAATGATTCATGGGTTCGATTTCCGGTCGGAATCGACTTTTCTATATTTTCTTGCGTCTGGGTGTTGTGGTACCTTCATTGTCTCCCATACTCCATAATACGACTTAAGCTGCTTATTATAATGTGTTTTAAACTCATCTTGGAATCTAAGCCACGTAAAAACAATTGTACTTACTTGCCACTTCTGAAAATCATACATAATTTTATCAAAACAGCGCATAACTATGGCGTTCACCTTACAAATTGCATATGTTACGCAACTTTAGTAAAGGCCAATACCTCCCTCCGACATAGATGATAATTTTGAATAAATCTTTTTTTACAGGTTAACCGGTTTTACCAATATATTAACAGGATTATGATATTTACGGGTTAACTAATTAGAGCAACAACCAAAAGGTTTATAATGAATCCTAATGCTTTATGGAATAATCGCAAACATATAGCTGATTAATCTCATTAAGAAAATATATTAAATAAACATGTCTAAATGACACATATATTTTTAATCGTAAAAAAAATTGTGCGCAGATTTCACACATATATTGTATATATTTTTCTATTAAAACCTCGTTATTTTCCATTTCAAACTAAAGTTTAAATAAAAATATTACCTTCTGCCTCTAAAACACAAAGAAAATGGATTTATATTATATTTTAAAGATCATATTAAATATGGAAATGTAAAACACCCTACATGGAAAAAATACGTACTTTCAACTGAAAATTTAAATTAAAATATGTTACTAAAGTCGATTCCAAATGTAACAAATATTAAGTATTTAGAAAAAAACGTAACTCACGGTAATCATCTGGAATTTGAAAATACATTAGTCTAATATTATCTCAATTATTTATTATAGTTTATGTATGAATGAATGAATGATTTATTGAACACACCATTATCACATTATAACAGCAAAAAATAGCACAGAAATAAGACAAATTGTTAGCTACAATTTTAAATAGGACTAGGGCCCTCCAGGGTGGTGTATCTAAAAGGCTCCAGCTCGACATTTTCAACTGACGCCTCTATTCAAACATACATATGTTACTAGAGAAAAATAAAAGAAATGTTTTATACGGTGCTATTTGCAAAACACCATTGTGGTGTACAAAAAAGTCGCTTGTATTAAACAGACGTCTTTATCCCGCTGATCTTTGAACATTGCACTAGACTGGAGTCTTAATATAGTTATGAGTTTAATTCATTACACAAAACTATTTTCCAATTTATTATATGTATTGTACGGTCGTGGCACTTTTAAGAACCACGACCGTGGCACTTTGAAACGCATAGAGTATTAAATTATAATTCGAGGCATAAATTGAATTAAGTAAAGACTTTTTGTGTGAATGCAGAATGTAACGGATTATCAAAAGTTATAAAACAGACCTTTGGTTATATAAGTGAGGTATGAATTATCTGTCAATTAAGTGAATCTTTCAACGGATGTAGTTCTTATGCTAATCTTAAATATATATTTTACTTCTAAATCAAAATTCTTATAAAGCTTATTTTGTTAAATGTTTATAAGTTAAAATAGTTAATGTTTTCCTAATATAAAACAGAAACCTGTATTTTACCTTATAGCATACAACACACAACGTTGGGTGCCAACGTAACTTAAATAAATAAATGCCGATTTAATATTAGAACTTTTATCTTTCCGACACTAGTGCTTAACTTTCCAAAGACGTAGACAAGTTACACATACAATATTTATCTTATTTTCATTAAGTAAAACAGTGAGGACAAAACGACTTTATTATTATTAAATAAGATTTCAAATATAGTGTTGCAATGAACGTTCAAGAATAATAAGACATCAGAATATTATAGATAATTGAATATATATCAGATATTATCAAGTCTTACTTACGCCAAAGTTCGTTGGCTGGTAGGGCTTGATCTGGTGATGGTAAACTGTAGATATAACCAATTTGACATGGATTCCAATGATCGCATACTTCTCTATCCGGGTCCAATTCTGTCACAAACTTGTAAGTCTGGAAGTTAATTGAATAATCTATTATAGAACATTGAAAATGGCCTCCATTACAACAAAGGTCACCTGCAAGTTACTTTACCTATAATTTTAATTTTATTTATTAAATAAGTGACAAATATCTATCCCGAACAAATAATTTTATGGCTTTAAATAATAAATGAAATGTGAAATATTAAGTAATATTTCACTTCCCTCTGTTATGTACCTATGTTTTGACTTTTGATATTTGAATATTGATAGGCTGACGCTACATTTCATATTTATCCTAGTGTTTTAAACTGTATTTATTAGAGTGCTATTGTAACTGGCGCCCAAACAGTAACACACCACGTCGGGTGCCAATGTAGCTTATATGAATAATTCCCAATTTTATCTTCAAACTTTCATATTTCGAAAATTTGTGTCTGAATAACCGCGCTTGTTCCAACTTACCCTGTCTGGATAGTATCTATAATGGACTACAACATCGTCCGTATCTTCTAATGCACACTTAGCACTGGTGTAGTTCAAAGATGTCCTTTCCATTGGAGCACATCCTATCACTGAGCTTCCATTGCGAGGGAGATCGGGACCTTCCACTTTATGTCCTGAAAAAAATTTAAGAACTCAGTATTAAGTCAAATATAAAACGAAGAGAAGTCATCATTGCAAGAGGCGTATTCCGTGAAATCATAAAGTGAGGAACTCGCAATAAAAAAGGGTATTATAGAAACATAATTCATTCAAAGGAATTTAAACTTTCATGGTTATTAACATTGGTCATATGTCATTCTATTAGTGTATCGAATTTCAAATTGTTTCTGTCCGAAGTTTGATGTCTGCGCTGATAGATCAGCCACTCAGTCACCTTTGCCTTTGGTATATTACATATTTAGATTATATAAACGTGTTCTACTCACTGTTACAAAAGAAATACTTATTGTCAGCGACATAAAGATCCTTATCTTCTGCACTTAAACAGGAATCAAACATCACAGGCGATGGCTCTATATCATCCTCACACATAATAATACCAGATCCGTCGGGTTCTTTTGGCGCTCTATTCATGGGACACCGAAACATCAGACCTGTTTCAAAAACCGCAAAGGTATTTTACATTAACCGATTTATTTTATAAAAATAAACTGGCTGTATGAGAAGACCTCATGTACTGGTTCCTTGCAAATATTGGATTGAAAAAGCAGTAGATTTGATGGAATGTAAGGAGTGGAAGACGAAAAAATAGATAGATGGATAATGTCAAATAAATATGAATAAGAAAAGTGAGTGAGAGTAAATATTGCACCGATTACAAGTGAAAAAATGTTGGTAAAGACCAGCAAATTATGATTTGCGTTACCTTTCCTTATAATGAGAGGAGGTTTATTTCTAATCTCCGCTATAGTGACTCCTTTTTCTCCATTCTGTATAGCAGTCATGACTCTTTTGTACAATGTGGTCCGTCGCTCTTGCTCAGCAATTATATAAGGTAACAATTCTTCCGATAATACGTCCACTTTCTTTTTGGCTTCCGCATTCATCTAGATAATTAGATATTGAATTACATGTTCACACCAGACCGTGAAAGCCGGTTAAATGAAATATTTATTGGGCTAGTGAAATGATTAAGTAAATGTAAAACCGCTAAATTCAAAATATATTACAAATAAAAATAACATTTTAATTAAAAAAAATATGCCACATACAACATTTAAAAGTTCGTGAGCTCATTTCTTGGAGTGATTATACAAAACCGGTTAGTAACTGTATTTTTTTTTTTTTATGTATAGGAGGGCAAATGACTGCGCTCCACCTGATGGTAAGCGGAGGCGTAGTCCAAACGTGAGGACAGCTAGTGAAAACAGTACGTAGGTACTGCACTAGCCAACCTCACCTTGCCGACCTGCAAGGTGCTTCTTCACGCCCCGCTTGAAGGACCCCATGTCATAGGAAGGAGGGAATACATGGGCCGGGAGACAATTCCATTTTTTGGTAGTACGACAAAGAAATGAGTCGCCAAATTTCTTTGTACGCGAAGGAATCGCTGCCACAGTTAGTTGGTGGCAACGCAAACCAGCACGTGTGGTCCTGAGGAGGAAGGGAGATGGAGGGATAAGCGAAAAGAGTTCTTCAGAGCATTCACCATGGTAGAGATGGTAGAAGACGCTGAGCGAAGCAACGTCTCGGCGCAGTTGCAGGCTTTCTAGGTTCTTGGTGACTTCACCATTGCCAATAATGCGTACTGCGCGGCGCTGCAATCTATCCAAAGCATCGAGTAAGTACCTAGCGGAGCCATCCCAAAGGTGCGAGCAATACTCCACGCATGACCGGACCTGCGTTTTGTATAGCAGGCACAGTTGTTCGGGCGTGAAAAAACGCCGCACCTTATTCAGGACACCGAGTTTACGAGATGCTGTTTTAATAACGGACTCGATGTGGTTTTTGGGATTCAGATCACAGCGCACTTCCATCCCGAGCATGTTGATGCTGCTCTGTAGAGGCAAGGTTGTGCCCTGAAGAGAGGGAAGGGAAGGGAATGGAGGGGTCTTGGCGGTAAATACGCAAACCTGAGTTTTCTTGGCATTGAACTCAACCAGATTTTCAGCACCCCATTTCGATATGAGATCCAGAACGTGATTGAGCTCAATGACAAGATTCTCCCTTTTCTCCATGATTTCCGCCCGTCCGACTGTAGGAGCCCCGTGATATCCCACATGCACTGTGCTATCGTCTGCATAGCAATGGATATTTCCAAGTGGAAGCATGTCATTGATATGCAGCAGAAAAAGTGTAGGGGATAGAACGGAGCCCTGAGGCACACCGGAGTTAACTGACATAAGCTGTGAAGAGCATCCGTCAGAAAGAACACGGATTTTACGCTCACGCAGGAAGTCGGCTATCCAGGTGCAGAGTTGAACGGGCAGACCGTAGGCCGGAAGCTTGGAGAGAAGTCCCTTGTGCCAAACCCTGTCAAATGCCTTAGCAATGTCAAGACTGACAGCCAAGGACTCGCCGCGCTTGTCGATAGCTTCACCCCAGAGGTGCATGACGTGCGCTAGAAGATCACCAGTTGATCGTTTTGGTCTAAAGCCATACTGACGATCATTTACAAGGGAGTGATCTTCTAGGTATCGGATCAGTTGGGAGTTAATAATCCTTTCCAGGACTTTACACAGCACAGAGGTGATAGCTATAGGGCGGTAGTTTGCAGGGTCTGACCGATCTCCCTTTTTGGGCACTGGCTGCACAATGGCCTCTCTCCAAGCCTCAGGTACACGACCCGAAGAAAGAGATAGCTGGTATAGGCGCGTAAGTACAGGAGTCAACTCCGCTGCACACATTTTTAGAACAACCGCAGGAATGCCATCAGGACCACTAGCTTTCCGGACATCGAGTGACTGTAGTTCTGCACGCACATCACGCTGCCTGATATGAATATCAGGCATAGTGAAGCCACTAGAAGGTAACGTTGGTGGCAGTGCATTACAGTCATTGATTTGGGAATAAGCCGCGAAGAGGCTTGCCAAGAGGTCGGCTTTCTCCTGCGGCTTGTGAGCTAATGTTCCATCTGGACATCGAAGCGGTGGCAGCGAGGGCTGGCAGAAATTGTTTTGCACGGCCTTGGCGAGGCGCCAGTAGCTACGGGAGCCCGTAGGGTGCGTAACTAGCTCATGGCCAATACGTGCGACGCGCTGGGCATCCGCTCTGATGTAAGCCTTCTTACAGGACTTGGAAGCCTGATTGTAGGCTGCTTTTATTGAGTCGATATCGGGATCCCTCCGAGCACGACCCCTGATCCAAGCTCGATATGCCAGCTGTTTAGATGCAACAGCGTTAGCACAATCGCGATTGAACCAGCGGTTGTGTTTGCCCATACTGATCAGATCGGAGTGCGGAATGTAGTATTCCATAGCAATACCGATCTCCTCAGTAATAGCAACGGCGCTCGTTGTCGGATCCTTCTCACTAAAGCAGCGCTGCTTCCAAGGAACGGATGCAAGGTACTCGCGCATGCCGTCCCAATCCGCTGAGCCATAGTGCCATACGCGTCGTCGAGTCCTCGGAGGTTGAGGGGGCTCGATTCGCGGCACTTTGGTGGATATCAAGCAGTGGTCGGAATTGCCCAGTGGGGCACGAACATCAACCTGATAACCGACGGGATGGCTCGTAAGCAGAAGGTCCAGTAAGGAAGGCGTTTGACCGACTATGTCTGGGATCCTGGTGGGCTGATCGACCATTTGAGTCAAGTCATGCGTGAGAGCGAATGCGTGGGCTGATCTCCCCGCATGGTCCGTCTTGGAGGAACTTAACCACGATTCGTGGTGAGCGTTGAAGTCCCCCAAGAAAACCAGTTCTGCGTTAGGATACTGCTCCTGCGCGTAATCTGCCGCCCGACTGAGGTGGTCATAAAGTCGAGTTGTCTCCGCATCGCCAGTGTGGGATCTGTAGAGGCACACATAGACTCGAGTCTGATGACCTAAGTCTATATGCACCGCCAGGAGGGAAAAGGAAGGGTCTTCTAGGCAGCGCAATCGGTGACAGCAAACATCCGCCCGGACAAACAAGCATACACCGGCTTTCGCTTTGAAGGACTCTTCAAGTGCGTAGCCGGGATAGTGAAGGTAGCTTGTATCGGCCGGGCGGAGAATTTGCGTCTCCGTCAGAAACAACATTGCAGGCCGTGCTGTCTCTAGGTGTTGGTGGACAGCATTGAGGTTGGCATGGAGTCCCCGTATATTAGAGAACTCAACCTCAAACAGCGAAGGCGTGGGGTTGTGCACCGCTGTACGACCGGAACGTGTTGCTGTGGCTGCCATAAGGATAAGGGGTGAGGAGACGTGAAGCGGGAGGGCATTGTCGCGACTGCTCCAGTCAAAAATATGGGCGCCTGTTTCCCCAGGTGTTGCCCACAGAGGAGTAGCACCGATCCGCCAGACGGAAGGGCCCCCGTACCCCCCCGGGAGTGGCCGCCGGGACCCACGCTCCGGTCACCAACCGGCACGACGGTCCACCCCAAGATTATGCGTGGCATAATAGGGCAGCCTCACGAGCTGGTTAGGCACGCTTGGGCCCCTGTACTGTACCACGGGCGGCCAGCGGACAGCCGTTTCTACGGGTCTCCCTGGCTGGCGGGTCGATGCAGTCCTCCTGGCACTGGTTCGACGGAGGCACCCACCGGACCGAAACAATCGCGGCAATGTCGTCCCGAGCTCTGGTTGTACGTTGGCTGATCCCGAAACGCGCTCTACGAGCGAGCACTTCACGGGTTTTTCACCATGTGTGTACGGTGGTAACTAACCAGGCGGGATTAAACCCTAGCACCAGTTGCGAGCAGATCTGAGCTCGAATTCCTTTAGTCGCCTCTTACGACACCCACAGGAAAGGAAGGGGCGGTGAGTTATGTATTCTTTCTCCGTCACCGCACGGACTGAAACCCATTACAAAGTGCGATATAAACCTGCTTTACAATTTCACACTTCCCTAATTTTGAATTATATCCTACTGATCCCATTGAATTGTAAAATGTTACATACCCTATCTGCATCTTTGTTGAATTTTATCCCTGTGCCATCCTGTGTGTTAAAAAATTAGTCTCAATATTAGAAACAACACTGCCATCTAGAGCGAGAGAATTGTACTGAGAACCGGTTACAAATAAGTATATCTTTTTACATGTCACCGAAAAAAAGGAGTTTTTCGGATATGTATAACAGAAATCTGTATACATATTTGAAAAACTTTTTCTATTATCTGAATGACGGACTACTCGTATATATAGAATTTCGTTTTTTCACCCAGGGCTATTGCATCCATTGTAGATACTTACAACTGCTTGTCTCCTGACGATATTTGCTAGGTATCTGCCTCTTCTGGACGCAGGCAGTAATACGCTTCCCGGCTGGACATCATCACCGACCTAACATTTTTTACATAAAATTAAGGATGTTCAAATTAATATCTAGAAAAAAACGCTATTCGCAGCGCTGGTTCAATGAAAACACTGGAACGACAATAATAAGAAAACAAAACAATGTAAATTACTAATAAAAGTACGTCAATGCCAATGACAAAAGAAACTCCTTAGGTACAGCTGGCATTTAAATTTTGTACTTTCGAATACCGCGGACATGAAATCATGTTCAAAGAACAAAAGTATTTTTTAAGGTTAAAATAATAGGGATGATGACTAATTTTTGTTTGTTTGTCCGTCAGGTAGAGTGTTAAAAAATATTAAACACGTTTTTTTATTTTTTTTCGTTATTATAAAATTACGGCGTTACATTGATTTGAAATTTCGCATGACGTCACGTTAGGGTACGTTTTCTACTCAACTGTGACGTAGCGAACCCCCACTCCTCAACTTTAATGCCTGTTATCTAAGCTATTTCTTGTTAAATTGAAGTAAATAAAAATACGTATCTAATATTTTTCTATTATCTGACTGACGGACTAAATAGAATTGCATTTTTTTTACCCAGTCATCATCCCTATTACAACAAACGTAATCTATTTGTAAGGCCGTGCATGCCACACTGTAAGT